AAGGCCGGCTGCCAGTCAGCTGACAATCGAGTTGTCTTAACTCTGGGTATAAAGGGACTCTAGCAATTAGTGGCGAGGCGTGAATGATCGATTGTACGTATTTCTGTCAAACAGAACTATGCGCATTAAGACATGAGCCCTGAGACCCATAAAAATACATGCATAACAGGGCTCACATCATAATGCACATAGTTCCGTTTGACAGAAATGCGTCCGATTATCGGTATCTTCCCATTTGAAGTTATGGTAGAGGAACGATCATCAAGGCGTTCGTTGCTAACACACTGTTTATCGATCCTTTGTCGTAGGTTTAAAAGAAATATCAATCGATCTATCAAGTACGCCATGCCACTGTTAGAGATCCAAGTTTGTTTTGTGATCAGGGTCGGATTTATTTGTACATACTTGCCGCCCATGGGCCGCCTGTATTTTGCCGCCCCTTCTCATTCGTTTTGAAACATCGATACAAACCATCAAGTGAACGTGCCGGAGGAGGAGGGGTGCATGAGACGCGTTTACTCGTGTTGGGCACATTTTCTGTGAAAGCCCTGTCAACACTAGCAAAAGTTCACAGAACTTTGCGCGAAAATTAAGTTCCGTAAAAATATCTCTGTGTGGAGGAGGCCTATTATTTTTAAGAAAAGAACGAAAAAATTATGAAAGAATAAACATGAAAGTGGTTTAGTGATTTTAATTTCCGCCACCACGCCAGCCGCACTGTGTTTGGTGCAATGCTTGAAGTATTCCTTCAGTCTTGTAGGCGCTGTGCGTTTCACGCCGACCGCTGCTGACCGAACTGTCTTTGACGCAATGCGTGAAGTATCCATGCAGTCTTGTAGGCACTATGAGTTTCACGCCAACCGCTGCTGACCGCACTACGTTTGACGCAATGCGTGAAGTATTCATGGAGTCTTGTGGGCGCTAATATGTGTTTCATGCTGACCGGCGCGCCGAGGGCTTCTCCTTTCCGTCTCAAGTCCTCGCCATCATTGCTCTCTGCGCCGCGCCGCTCCTGGCCAAATTGCATTTTTGGTTTCTCTCTCAACTAGACTAATGAAAGGTGCTGTCTCTTGAATCACCGAAAGACGAACAAATTAGAGATTACTATACTTTAACTCTCAGGAAATGAGAGATTTTTTCGCCTTTTCTCGTTTGTAATTTTTTCGTGAATCAGATATTTTTCTTGATACCTACTTTTGAAAAAATTGCAACATTTGCCGCCCCAAAAAATCTTAGAGTCCCCAAATAAAGTGGCAGCCCTGTCAACGTATTTGCTCCCTAACTTTGCATGGAACGTTGCCATCATTTCCAGCAGCTCCCCTTCCCAGCAATGGAGATGTTGCATATGTGAGGAATTTGCGATTTGACTGTTGGTTCTTATGTAAAATAATGTTGCAGTAGTCATTTTTATCGAGGTACACAGGTAAAACGGAAGTGGAAGCTTACCCTCGATCACACATTAGCCACTTAGAAGTGGAACTTCAGATAATTGTTACGATGGCCATTTCGGAGTACTTTATTCTCCATCATCGGGTGTTGTTTGCTCCAGACCTAAGGATGAAAATGGAGCAAACAACACCTGATGATGGAGGATTAAGTACTCCGAAATGGCCATCGTAACAATTATCTGAAGTTCCACTACTAAGTGGAAAATGTGTGATCGAGGGTAAGCTTCCACTTCCGTTTTTTCTTATGCAAAAGTTCGTGAGAAACACGATGGCGCCACTGGTTTTCCTTGAAATCAACTCCCAAACTCAAAAAAAGCTCTCAAAGTTGAGGGCGTAATGGAGAGGATATCCCACGCTATCCTGAGAGTCCACTTCTACATCAAGACAAACTCTCCGTGCAAAGATAGAAAGCAAATACATTGACAGGGCTGCCACTTTATTTGGGGACTCTAAAACTGAAAACACAGCATCACTGCTAATGTATTTGCTCCCTATTCTTTGCATGGAGAGTTTGTCTTGATGTAGACGTGGACTCTCAGGGTAGGGTGGGATATCCCCTCCATTTTAGCGTCAACTTGAGAGTTTTTTTTAAGCTTGGGAGTTGATTTCAAAGAAAACCAGTGGGACCATCGTGTTTCTCGCGAACTTTTACACAAGAATCAACAGTCAAATCGCAAATTCCTCACACATGCAACATCTCCATTAATAACAGGTCAGGCTCGACTCGTCCCGAGTGAGTGTCCAACATTATGTGGATTGCATTTTGCAAAAAGGAACCACTAACATTGCAATGTTGCTGAGATTGTGCAACTTCTTTTGTCTTGGAGGAAAACCCCGATTATCCATTAATAGTTTCTATTTTACTCGCTAAATCCTGTAAATTTAAGACAAAAATGACCATCTAAGTTTCATAGTTTTTCACGATTTCCTCAATTTTATTGCAAAAGATGAAGATGCACAATCTTAGCATCATTGCAATGCTAGTGGTTCCCTCTTGCAAAATGCAATCCATGTTATCGACGGATCCCCGGGTCCCCTTAACGTTAGCCTAGTCAGCCCAATGGCCAACCTTTCGAACGGGACCCCTGAAATACTTTGTCTCCCGGCTCGGCTACGACAGTCGGAGAGGCTACGACAGTCGGAGATAGAGTACCTTTATAGACAGAGTATGGCCATTTCTGTTCCGGTTTTTCATTGGTCGCGAGCGAATAGGCTGACACGATGCTCTTAGGGCCGTAAATAAACAAACAAGATGGCTGTTATCAGCAAGGAAGTTTGAGGTTATGCACATCTTACATCCTCCTGTGATAAAGGTGAAAGGCGATTTAACATTGTTTTCATGTGTTTTTATTCGTAGATATGCTAGTTTAAATTGTTACTGCCGTATAATTGATATTTTTTTCAAATTTAGCTTCTTATCAATGATACAGAGAGTCGCCATCTTGTTTGTTTATTTACGGCCCTAAGAGCATCATGAAGCCTAAAAACTCGTTGACCAATCAAAAAGCGGAACAGTTTTCCTGTAGTAAAAAGATACGAATGGCCATACTCTGTCTATAAAGGTACTCTAGTCGGAGAGGCAGGCAACAGCTGGGAAATAAAGCAGTCATCGTGGATTGTCGAAGAGGATCGACGAGCTCGGCGGGAATTGGCCGGGCGCACGGCGCGACGGAAGATTAATGTGGCCGCCTCGGACTCTTGGGCGGGACATCGGACATTGTTCGCGCCGCGAGTCTAATGAAGGGTATCTGTGCTAATTATTTGTCTACTTTGATCAAATACGCGATACGCCCGGATTAAAACAACGCGAAAAGCGGAAGAAAGGCACAGAAATAACCTCGCCGCGGTCAACTCCGCCGCCTTTCCCCGTTGCCGAGTCTCGCACTCCCGTCATAGCCAAGAGAGCAGTAAGTCCAAAAATGAAGTTTTGAGGAAAACTAGAGTACCTATATTGACAGAGTATGGCCACTGGGGTTACCACCTCTGATTGGCTCAGCCATCTTAGGCTAAATGGAGCCCTTAGGACCCAAAAATGGCGGACGCCATAAATTAATGTAATGCAAAATGACTCAAAATGTAGTTTTCTTCGCTTATCGTAACGAGAAATTTACTCAAATGCACTATTGCGACATCTTTACATATTTTTAAGGCTAATCGTGTGCAATTTTTGAGAAAAATTATCTTAGATGTAGTAAGGTTGGCAGCAAGTGCGGTTGGTGATAACCGTCAAAAGTTGGCAATGACCCCCCTCCCATCCACAAAAACCAAAACAAAGCACCGCCATTTTTGGGTCCTAAGCCTCTCCATGGGGCCCAGTGGCCATACTCTCTCAATATAGGTACTCTAAGGAAAACGGGCTCAGCGGGCCGATTATTATTAAAAGTTTAAAGCAGCCCGATAAGACATCGATATGTTGCATGGTTAAGATAGGGCTATGTCTTGTCGTGTCAGGCCGACATGGTTTCAATAATCGAGTCGCAGAAGCGTCTGACTGGGAAATTTCATTTGCAAGAAGCCTCCGTTCTTCGTTAAGTTGCCGCTAATCATTCGAAAGACTCTTATAGAAAACCGTTTGCCCACAGAAAAGTTCTACCATGATAGCGAAGATGGCGGTATAAGTGCAAAAATGAAGTTTCGAGAAAACGGGCTCAGGGGCGACCGACCGGAAAATTTTATAGAAAGGAACCTCCGTGCTTTGTCAAATTGCGACAAATCATCCGAAAGGCTCTTGGAAATCGTTTGGATGATTTAAAATCTAGAGTTAATACTTTGTAGTTCTCTATATTTTGAATAAAGAGAAAAAAGATTTAACATCGACCGATTTACGTCGGAGAAGAGGGGTAAACATATTTTCTCAGGTATCAAGTAGTTGTTACTCCTCCTTAATTTCCGCCGCTGAAGCTGAAAAATGTCTTCGTTATCCTCCAAAATATACCGAATTTTTGAAAAATTGATTTTTCAAAAAAAAAAAAGGAAAAAAGCGGTTTTTCAGCTTAGAAAAATCTTCGCCATCTGGAATTTTGATTTGCCGAAGGTTTCGGAAAAAAACGAAGGTCATTTACGACTTCAGCGTCAAAAGTTGAGAGGAAGTCCCGAACCACTTTCAAAACGCCTTCATAATTTGGTCAACTTTGCAACTTTATTCTAGCACTGGATTCGTATCACCTGCCAGGATATCCATCGTGAAAATAAATATGCACAAACATCCCGATTTCCAAAATTTTAACTTTAGAACTGTCACGCTCTTCGCTAACGGCATCAAAAATTGCAGTCTAACAACAATTCCGCAGTAAGTCCAATTGATCGAACTCACACCCAGCCCGCTGAAGGACTAAACTACTGAGTGACGACGCGACGACGGTACGGGTATGCTGGATTTGTCACACAAATTGCCTGCCTTTATTTTTGAAGGAGATTATTCCAGGACCGGATATTGAGTGCAATGCTTACAAAAAAATAAGATCATTGCGCTTTCCTTTTACCAAGTTAATAATTCTTCAAATGTAATTTTGCATGATATACATAAGCTATTCATTTTTTGTGTGCTTTCAGGTTTCTTCATGCGTTGTTTCTCCTTCGTTGCTCACCAACCGTCGAGGATGTTTATTTTTAAAGCGGTATAAACGTGAATCCATAACTTATCAACGAAGCCAACCCATGAATCTCCTTTTTTACGTTGGTCAGGATTTTATCCAACTTGATTTTTTAGTAACAGTGTGTGAAAAATGGGATAACGAGAGGAAGTCGAATTAATTTCACTGATTTCATGGAAGATATTTACTGTGCTCAATGGAAACAAAATCATTTTTAAAACTCTAAAATTTTGGCGCTGATTCAAGTACCCTCAAAAACCGCGTTAAACAGAAAGGAACCAAGCCACATCAACTGCTGCCAATTTCAATCAGGCAATTTATGTTTAACGTGAAAGCGGTTGTGCGGATTTTTGTGCAAATTTCAGTGAATTGAATGCATAGTACGAGGCAAACTCCTTAAAATTTTCAAATGAATTCGCACAAACGTTCTCTCGTAAAAAATTAAAGTGCCAAGTTAAATTTGGCAATAGCCGGTGTAACTTGGTTCCTTTCTGCTAAACGCGGTCGAAGTGATCACTCGATACTGAACTTGTACGATTTTACCTCGAAACGTACTTCCCCTTCGGAACTGCGAAAAACTGGGCAGGTTTTCAAAATATTAGGGTTTCTTTTTCAAATTTCCTCAATTGATTCGATGTTTGCATCAACTTGCTTTACAAACCAATTCCTCTCCTCTAAAATTCGCATTCTACTTCCCTCACTTTTTAGCAATTATACTTTAGTATATTTACCTGAAGTTTAATGTTTTGAATAACTTGACTCCTCCATTAGGTAAGGCGTGGAATATTCGAATACCACTGCGCACAATAATCAGCCACAAAATTGTTAACTTGAGATCTCTAAAAAAAAATAATAATGAGAGAGGGTGAATGGATCAGTAAAATGCTACTCAGCTGTTAAGTGCATTGTGCAACATCTATAAATTGACATGTTAAAAATTTTAGGACCTCATTTTAAAAATGAAAAAAGCAGTATAGCTCAAGTATCAAGACTGAAACTGTGTGCAAAATTTGACATCGGACCTTTCTCTTGGAGTCAACTCAAAATAATTGATCATCAATTTTTCAAATCAATACCTGCCGGACAATTTTTTTTTTTTTAATTTTAGCGTACAGAGATTTTTTCTCTGTCTTTTTTGTCCTAGAATTTTGATAAATCAATTAATTCATCAAATCTCAAATTGCACTTACTTGCAAACAAATCTCACAGTCTAGATTTTAAGGACCATAAACTTATAGCAAACGGCATTTGGAATAAACATTAACATGCAGTCAGTGACCTACCAATGTATTTATTGTATTCTAAATGGGACTCTAGGCAAGTTATCTATCGTAAAGCAGTATATACGCAACATATTTTCTCTTCAAAATTTCACGATAAAACAAGTCACACATTGGGAAGTCTCAAAATCAACCCCTAAACAAGACATGAAGTGTTCTTAATTGTAAAATGCCAAACTCATATAAATGACGTCATTTTATTATCTTACTTCCACTTAATCTGCGTTAAATACTTGTAAATATCTTGTTTAGGACTTGATTTTTGAGCTTCTTGTCATGTGAATCATTCTCTACGTGAGATTTGGAAAGAAAACGTGGCATTTTTATCTAGTTCGGACCTTGTTTATAAGCCCCTTTAGCTACTACCTTTAGCTTTTGAAAATATCACGCTACGAAATAGGACAATCTAATGAAGGAGTAACATAATTATAACAAAAGCCAATTACGAATTTTATCTGAAGGTGTTAATATTTTAATTTTTCTGTCTGTTGTGATTGATGTATAAATTTCTTTTCTCCGCTATTTTTCTTCCGAGGCATGCGCACTTCCCGTGTTCTTGCTCTCTAATAAAGACAAAGGAACAACATTCCCTTCACTTAAAGTTCTCACGTGTACCTATGTGTTTTTCAAGAATAAAATTATCTGTTGTTACTACTTCAAGCCTTTGTTTTTTTCCCTGTGTCTCTTCCTCTTCAACAGATCCTAAAGAAGGCACTACCTCCCTCTTCTCTTCCGCTCATGTCAGAGAAGGAAGAGGGCACAGAACCGGCAAAAAAAAGTGTGAAATTCGTCATTTTTTGAGCCAATGAGTAAAATTTAAGCCCCGTACACCCTCCTCCTCCCTTGCAAGAGGTGATTGGATTCGGCTTTGTTCCTCGTTGTCACGACGAGGAACTGAGGATTACCATTTGGACTACATTATGCAATGAGGAAATACTATTTCTATCTCATCCATAAGAAACACCTATCTGTATAGGGTAACCATGGAACATAAGTTGTTTCTACAGTGTGCCAAAATGTCAGTTCATCATTGTAAAATGTAGTCAATTTGCAGCTGCGCTGCAGTCGCTCATTATAGTGACGAAGAAGAAGTCGTCTTAATTAGACTAGATTCTGCAATTGGGAACTACGATTTCTTACTCAGTTTAGAAACAACGTACGTACCTTTCGTTTCTCAATGCCCACAAACGTTTTTGCGGATGAGCCAGATTTTGTGGTTCTAACTTGCAAAATGAAGTCCAATTGGTTTTTGGCTCCCGCCAATCGAGTTCCTCGAGTTATCAAAAAACTCGCGAGTCATCGAAATACAAGGACACTTGAACGGATAAAATCCAAAAGTGTCAGAAAAATGAAGGCAGAGCTGTAACACTCAAAAGTTCGTGATTTAAAAACGTAATACTTAGGAGGAAATGTTACTTGACCTAATGCTCTGTCATGTCCAGAACTCAACATGGTTCAGCTGGGGTACACATTTTCTTCAAATAAATAAAATCACTTGCAAAGTATCCTACGGGATACTATGAGGAATTAATTTTATTCATTGATCTATGGGATCATATCATACTGTGAGATACTAAAAAAAAAAAATCACCAGTCGAAATTTTAAATTCTAATTTTTTTAGCTCAACTTCATTAAAATAGCCTTCTGAATGTTCATACAATGTCCCTTTAACCGTGAACGATCTAGACACCAACCAGTCAAAATTTACAACGAAGAAGTTCTACTGTTACGTGTGACGGTAAACGGTGTTAAGTAATGAATAAATCGAAAGCCGTTTTCACACGTGGGTAATTCTACAAAAGCTCCCTGGTAAAAATTGGCGATAGAAGCTGCGTTTCAAAATACCATAGGAGTTCTTATAGCCGACTGAAGAAGGCTATAGAAAATCATATAGCTGGCTGTAGAAAGTGGAAAAAATAATACGGCCGGGCTACACGAAGCGATAAAAAATTAAACAGCCGGGCTATAGTTCCTGTCGCCGGGCTTTACACTTTATCGCCTGGCTGTTGCTTTTTCGCCATCGGCTGTAAAAGGCTATAAGAAATTGTGTAGAAATTCGTGTGCTTTGTAAATCCTTAAGTTTGTACGGAATCACCATAATGTTTACAAAACGCACATTACATTTTCCTTTACTACATATTTGTTTTCATCAATTAAAATGAGAATAATCCATGAGTGTGCAAACATTTCAAAGTCATGAGTTGAACAACGCTGACTCCACGAGATCAAATATTAGAGCCTAACACAAAGCGGAGCGGCGGCGCACTGGCGCCTACAAACCTAACAGGGATACTGTACGCATTGCGCAATGCGTGAAGTATCCCTGTTAGGTTTGTAGGCGCCAATGCGCGTTTCGCGCTGGCTGCCCGCCCGCCGCGCCGTAGCGTACCACGGCGCTTGAAGCAACTATTTCACACCAGAGGTATTGCACAGTATCATACGAAATTGAAGGCGCTCCAACATATTAGGAATGGCAGGCGTCCTTCAAAAGTACGGAGCTTTCCTCGCAAAATAAATCAAGATACTACGGCCCAAAAAGAGAGCGGTAGTCCTAAAACTCACTAAGTCCTAGCATCCGTAATTAGTAACGTTTAGCATACACTTTATCGCCAGGCTGTTGCTTAATCGCCATCGGCTATAAAAGGCTATAAGAAATTGTGTTGCCGGCTGAGAAGCTATTGGGAATCTTACAGCCGGCTGTAGGTCTATGGTATTTTGGAACACAGATTCTACTGCCAATTTTTACCAGTGCTATCCAATTTGACCTCAACTATGTTATTTTGGATTGAGAGTTTTGAAGATTTGGATCATAGGCGAATGCCCCCTTACCTTGAGTGAAAAGATTCTCAGGTTTTGCCAGTATTCATTTAATATTTCCATTGTCGCTAGTAGCTATAATCCACAATTCGGAGAAAAAATGGGGAAATACCTTCAGACAAGCTCGTTTCCACACCACCTTAGGAGAGCCCGATCAGGTACTGCTCCCGGAGGTAGAGCTTTCGGTGCGTTTTTTTAACATGGTATCGCCAAGAGCTCTAATCCACGGAGGGAAGAGGGAAGAGGAGGGGAAGAGGGGAGAGGGAGGGAAGAGAGAAAACAAAATAAAACACTTACCAACGCTACCGTAGCTCCATCCACTGCTTCATGTCGTTTTTGACACTGCCAAAAAAAAATCTGTGCCCGCGGGAGACGGGAGTATAGTGCCCTTTACAATTGATTAACGTGAATAATCAAAACGGTATCTTACCTTCGGTTGCGGGGACCAGCGTTCAGCAGCAGCAGCAGCTCCTTCAGATATTTCACCAAAGCGGAGTCGTCCTCCGATTAAGATATGAGTTTAAGTAAAATATCTACAATATTGTAATCAAGAGTCAATTATTATTATTATTATTTTTTAAATCTAATTAGCCCTCAATGGCTAATCCCATCTGCCTACATAATCCGGTAGCTTGATAATACATCACGTGCTTAAGTCCTCGTAAATACGTTGTCCTAGAACTGCTTTCATTCTGAAGAGTTCAAAAGTATTCATTATCAGCCAAGCCAATACGACTGGAACTCTATCAGATCTGTAAGTAGGTAGTGGAGCGGACAAAATTTCCCGCCCCGCCAGTTTGAATCTTTGCCCGCAATTTCAAATCTTTGCCGTACAGCGCGCGCCTAACACAGCGCGACACACGTCATCATCAGCTGTGGAACGCCACTCATCACAAAACCCTAACCTCAAAGTGTGATAGCAATAGCAAATGTATCAATGTAGCAAGTTCCGGAACTTCGAAATGTCTTGAATGATTGTGAAGTGTCACCAAAAAGTTCTTAATTGTGACAGTTTTTGTCCTTATATTTTTGTGTTTTCATGAATTAGATCATGTCTCTTCCAGGAAATGGCATTTACATCGTCCTGGGAGAGGTGTCCACCTTGCTGACAGCAATGAAACGGGGCAATAGGTGGTCTTCGCATTCTCAGCAGGTAATAATTTCATCAAGCCTTCAATGTTTTTTGAGCTTTGAATGAATCATAGGTCTTCAATTGCTCCTGCTCCTGTCATAAATGGTCAGAACCAACCGTCAAACTCCAGTACGGAATGTATGTTCACGAATGTCAAAGGACGATGAGTGCCCCGTCACTACTTCCAATATTGTCACAGTTCTATATTGACTGTCACCCTCAAAGTCCATATCAGTCATTCTGTGTAGAAATGAAAGCAGACTTGACTGATTGAAGCCATAATTTATGTCAAAGGTCATTTTATTTAGTAATCTACAGGTAACATAATCTTAAACGAAGCCAATTAAAGTCTGAATAGTGTTAAAACTACCAGTACTGACTCAATTTTGATCCTATTGGAATAGTGGGGATAACATAGTCTCCTAGTTAATAACGCACACTCTAATGATTTCACAGCTGTGTAGTTACGCTAGTTCAACAAAGTGTAGACGCCTTTAGCTGTCATCAAATAAGAATGCAACTGTGAAGGCAAGGACCACTTGAATGACAGTGTCAAACAGTCTGGATTGTAACGCAATATTGATAAATTTCAATTTTTCGCGGTGCCCTGTGTATGCTGAACTCTTTCCTTTTCAGCTCTAGACTACTGTTAAACGAAACATTATCACTGTTAACACCCTAGGCAGTAGTTGGTATCTATCGTTACCCGCGGGAAATCCAAGAATCTGGCTGTCAACTTTGGTAGACTTTTCCTTGGGCTGAAAATCATTGATTTTTACATGTTAGAGCAATTACCTCTAATTTTTTAATGTTGTAGGTAAAGGTAAAGATCCCTAATATGTTAAATAATTGGTTTGTGAAGTGTCAGTGCAAAATTCCATCCTTTATCACACTACAGTTTATTTACCCAACAGCTTCGGAAGGAAATATTGAATTACCTACAATTTTTCTTGACAGTAGACAGTCTTTGAATGACTCCGAATTTTCTCTTCTTCATACACGGCTTTCATTTACATGCATGATTTGCTTCAACAAAGAAGGTTCATTAATTGATTATGTTACTTCAGGGTGTAGTGTAATTACCTGTAGGTATACCTATTCTAGTCTTGCCAACTGGAATTTGTACTGTAAGGAGACATGTCAAATCATTTTTGCGAGTCATTTTTCCCATATAAACCAGACTCGCTAAGAATTTAATCAAATTTATTATGTAATGAATTCTCTAATTCATCTCAATTTCAAACTGCTAAAGTTGAACGAAGTCTTGTATCTCAATTTCATTGTTTTTTTCTTTTCTCTCTGAATATTCAGGATAAAAAGACAGAAGCTCTTATCAAAAACTTTAACAATTTGAAAGACTCACTAAATCAAGTTGGAGATCTCGAACTTGTGAGTCCAAGCTCCTATCTAGGTAAGTCACATTTGCGTATTTTTGGTCTCAAACCAATCTAGTATATTGAAGTTGGTGAAAAACAAAGCTCAGGATTTAAATTTTGAGATCTTGGTGTTATTTTTCGGGAAGGGGGGGATGGAGCTAGGTAAGTATTTTAAAGTAAACTTTGCAGACATTACCTCAGAAATTAAACTTTTAGGTCTGCAACATCAGTTTAAACTTGGTTTGACAGGCTGTATGAGCGGCAAGATTCAATGTCATCTTGAAACTTTAATTGAATTTTCTCAAAATCTCCAAGATGTTTTTCATTCTGGCATTGTTTGAGGCTCCAATTCATTCCTAAACCGTGCTCTTAGTCCAAATGTGATGGTTTGCGTTAATTGTCAATTTTCAATTTGTGCTGTCTTTTCATTTTGTGTAATAATCCGCTGATACATTCGTCAACTCTTGAATCTACAATACTTTCTCATTTTTCAAACTCTAGTTTTTATTAAATGATTCAAATAAGTAGTACAGTATTGATGGCATGCTAGATCTTAAGGCAGATTAAACTTAGTCCAAAGACCACATAATGTATTTTGAACGAGGACTATTTCATCATATTTTTATATCATATATAAATGTATTTTTTTACCTGTAAAATGTTTTTTTTTGTTTTTCTGCAGGCCCGTTTCTTCAGACAATCAAGTCTGACCAAGGAGCCAGTGTTTCTGGTGCTGTAACCAGCCTCGCTATCTCATCAATAAACAAATTTCTGTCCTATGAATTGATTGGTAGGTATCAACTTAACCTTAATTTGTCTGTAAAAGCAAAAGGCGTATCATTTAGTATGCCCACAGGACATACCTGTAGTTGATCCATTCTTCTCACCTAGTTTTAAATTGATTTCTGTCCCAAAATGTGTAGCTTTAGTGTGAGTGAATAGTTGAGGTTTTTGGAAAATTCTTTGGAGTCATGTAATTAGGAGAGACATTGGAAATACTAGGAAGAGGTCTACAACTGTCTCATTAGTTTTGTTGGTCCTTTCAAAATAAACTTCGGGAAACTTTGGTGTGTTTTCCGCAATTGAATGAGATGTTAAATAAATTAATAAATGATTGTTTTATTTGTAAGGAACAAAAAAAAATTATTCATAAAATATTTCATAGTATAAAAAATATTTTCACTCTACGAATGCCAGCCACCCAAAATGAATCTACAGTTACCAAGACTAGTAAGTAGCATAGAATGTTACTTGTTACATAAACAGCTAAAAAAGAATCCAGAAAAATGTTTTGTCAAAAACATTGAAAGGAAAACGAAATTGTAGCCTTTACTCTCCTTACAAAGTGATAAATTTTGATCTAAATTTCCTTGCAGGCAAAAAAACCTCCCCTCAGACCATAGAGAAAATTGCTGATGCTGTCACACATGCTCGGTTCGTTGGTACGGATGAAGTGAATGATGCTGTTGTTTTAATGAAAATTCTCCAGGTATTTTTAATAATGATGTTTTGTTTTGTTTTGTTTCATTTCTGTTTGTCTTAGATTCCTCTTAGTTTAACTTGTTATATTTTTTCATTTTGTGCACGCAGCATTGAGTGAAAAAACATCCTTTTTATGAACCATGCTTCCTCGAGTATTATATATTACTGCCGTACTGAAGACGAACGCAGTGTCAACATTTGACACCTGCCAAATTTCTTCCTATAAATGTTTAATTTTTGAGGAAAGTTTTGAATATCATTCCATGACATTTTTACACACTTGAAATTTTATTGCAATCATTCATCTAAGCCTAAAAGCTGCGAAGAAAATGTGTGCAACTCAAACAGAATTTCATGTTCTGACTTCAGCAATAAAATGAGGAGAGCAAAAAATTTGAGTTTTTCTTCACAATACATCATGAAGTACATCAAATCATTATTTGGGTATTGGAAGCCTTCCTTTGTGGAATTGTTGTGCATTGTAAAATTTGGATTTTTCAAACTTTCCTGTGAAACTATTTTTTAAGGAAATTTCAATAAAAAGTCCTTAAAATTCAGGAGACAAAGCTATCAAAGTGTGTAAATAGTGCATACAACCCGCACTAATATTTGACTTTCTGTTCTTTTTATTTTTTCAATCATTTTAGGTGCTAAGGACACTGATGGTATCGCCTGCTGGTACAATGCTAAGCGATGAGAAAGTCTGTGAAATTATGTTTAGTTGTTTTAAAATCTGTTTCGAAACTAGATTGTCTGGTATGTTATATTTTTACTTTCACTTTCTTGTTTTGAAAATAGCCTGTAATTCAAAGTGTTTCTAAGAAAGAAGGAGATATTTTCCAAGAACTCGAAGTTCAGTTTCTGTTTCGCACAAAATTATGTAAAAATTGTTGCCTGTGTAAGTATAAAAGGACAAAAATAAATTTTCCCCATTACATCTTTAGTCATTTAGAAGCTCTGCAGAAAAGTTCTGTTTTCAATTAGTTAATTTATTTATTTGCCTGTGTAAGTATAAAAGGACAAAAATAAATTTTCCTCATTACATCTTTAGTCATTTAGAAGCACTGCAGAAAAGTTCTGTTTTCAATTAATTAATTTATTTATTTAACTTTTTCACAAATAAAATCAATTAATCAAACAAAGCCAAATACAGAAGTAAGATACTAATCAACAAAGAATAATCAAGAACAGCAAACAGTCTATAATCAAAACTATCAAGACTGTTTCCGTTGAAGTGAGCTCGAACTAAGGATTGAAGAACTAGAGGCATGAGTAATAAGGACCTCAGTCTTTAACAATTAATTAAAGCCCAAGTAATTTAAGATTGCTGATTTAATTCCTATTAAAGGAAGTTTAGAATCTGCTCTTTGAAGTTTGATTTAGACCTTACTTCAGTAGAATTTGTTTTTATTGTACTATCAAATCTCATTGTCAAGGTTTCTGCTTTTACAGATTTATTAAGGAGATGTGCTGAACATTTTCTAAAGGACATGGTGCAGCTTGTATTTATGCGACTTCCTTATTTAGATAGTTATGTAATTCCTACTTCCAAAGTGAGTGATGATATTTCTATTATCGTAGAAAGTTAATCAGCGGCATGGGGTGCTTTGCGATGTATCGATTGTTATGCCATTTAAACCTATGGAAAAGGATCGATAAACAGGGTGTTCACAGCAAACACCTTAATAATCGATTCTTTACTATAGGTATAAATGGCATAACAATCAATACATTGCAATTCACGCCACGCCACTGAAGTTAATAGTATGTCCCCTAAAAATTAGGGCAATTCCTTTATCAAAATATTTTCAATTTGAAACTCAAAACTAGAACAGTTTTTGCTTATCTACTCTCATTATTAGTTTTTACTCATTAAACAGCTGGTTTTGATGCAATCTAACTAATTGCAGAAATGCAGGTTTCTGAAAATCCATCAATCAAACATCTTTGTAAAAACAGAATGTTTTTGCTAAATTCCAAGTTCAATAAAATTTGACTGGATAGTCTCAAAATGTCAAAACAGGCAACCTCTTGCTGCATCTGACGCAGAAATGTATTTTCCTTCACATTACTGTTCTTATAAGATTGCATGCCTGACTATTTTGTTCGCATAAAAGAGGGCGTTACACAGTTTCCTTGATGAAAAGAGTTTTGCGTTTACAAGTACCCTCACAATTTCAGAAACTAATCATTCTGTGCAGGCTTCGAAGTTGCTGTAATTTGTTCAAAACGTGGAATATTTTTCTTGACTAATTTTATGTTTTTTTTATCGATTTTCCCAGAAATTAGAGTTAAGATCTAGCAGTACGGATAATACTCGTAGCAGGAGAAAGTACCTTGGTTCTAAAAGTAAAACAAGTCAAAATGAGGGGAGCTCGCATGATACGCCAAAACCATCAGGTAAAAATTACAACATTTCATTATACCTTTACTACCCTATGTTTAATTTCAAAATTTCAGTTATGTATGCAGTAAACAGCTGTCAGTCACCCCTCCTATGCACGGTTGCATGGCAAAACGAAAAAACTACTCACACCAAAAATGGGCAGATGTACATGACATGACATTGCGAGCGCCTTCAGGCCCCAGGCAATCAACAAGTCAAAGATTAGGAAACTCATCGTATCAAAAGAAAATTTTCAAAATCCGTATGGAAAACCACATCCTCCAGGAAATAATTCTCTGCCTCCTTGCACATTTAAAGCATTTTAAAATATTTTTTAAATGTCAACCAGTGCGTCATTTTCACCTTTTTACAATTTTAAAGTGCGCTGAAATATTGGTTTTTATTTTGTAAACGAGTATGTTACACCTAATTTTACAACGTCCTGAAAAAGAAAGTTGGTCAGAAAAAACAAACTGAGGATCCCAGATGAGTCGGGAAAAAACAAATTTTCTGCATCCCAGGGTTAGTCTAGGGCAAGTCTAGTCGTAGGTTTGATAGTACACATTCGAAATATTCAATTTAAAAGGCACCTCTGTCCATGCTACTTGGCTCTGCCTTAATTTTTCCTTACTTTTTTCACAAGTGTATTGTGGATTTTTTATCCCCTCAAATCTCATTTCTGGTTTTGCTTTTTGCCCTATTAGGAAGTGCAGAGACGACATCAGAGGGGAAGCCAGAATCACACCTAGCAACAACTCCTCAGGCAGAGCAGTCAGGAAGTATAGTCGATATGCAAGGTGCAATCCATGATAGAGCACCAGGAACTGACCAGCTTAACTCGGGTAAGAGTCAGCTGAGCTAATGGCCCCCCAAAAAAAGCAAAAAAGGAAAGTTGAAGCCCATAGTGCAGCCGAGCTGAGGAAGAACACCGTACAATCATTCAAGTGTTGCCAATTTTCCCCAACTAATTATTTATTTTTAAGGAATGCTGCGTAAATTTTTCCTTGAACTCTTCAGATATTGTAGATTAAAGTGCGAACATTGCCGTCTAAAAAATTCCGAATTTTCCCAGTAAATTTTCTTTTATTGAAGAAAATGTAGCAACGCCTGAAGGCTCTTACAGCGTTTTTCCTAAGCATTGTAGAATGGATCAGCAGGCTGAGTCAGAACTTACCTGTTTATCTATTATCTAGCAGCATGCCATTGCCTCTAAAGTAAGTAATGGGTTGGTTCAATAGCATCATAACATACCATTCAATGAGAAGTTTCAGAGAATCAGAGAAGTCAGGATCTCATAGTCAAAAACAACGGATTTCCCAGCACGAGAAATGAAAATTTGCTGTTTAAAATTGATTCAAATCTCATTTAATAAAGGAATTTGAATTCTTTAGTTAAGAACTGTTGTTACACTTAAAATAAATTTATCACCCATCCCACAGAAAACTGTTACAGCTCTTTTCGGCTGGAGAACATAACTGTTGTCCATGTCTAAAATCAAGACAAATAAAATTTACTCAGTCATCACTCAGAAGATGCCAGACTCTATCAGGAAATTATTCAAAATATAACATGTAACTTTGATTCTTCAAAATATCAAGGAAATTTACGTAGGGTTGAACAAAAATAACTTTGCCTTTGAGAAAGAGATTATAACTTTCATTGAGTTTTTCTCCTCGGCGAGTGACACGTTAAGATGGTATTGGTTTGTTGGTTAAATAATGACAGAATCGTTTCTTGATGGTTACATCGCACAGCTTGATTATGAATGTTTTACATCACATTCACAAAAAATGTCTTCATCATCTTTTCCTTAGAAATACATGGGATAATCCCAATGAACATCTCTTCTAACATGTTTGTGCGACTTTGAACAACAGTTCTTTTTTTTCTTTTAAAAATGAAATTTGCATTTTTAGCTTTTCGCTCACTTACTATGGATTATATTTTTTTCTTGCAGCACCTGATGTCAATCCCTCAACAGAAAATATGCAAGCTTCAATAGAGTGCACTGATTCCAGTCACTCAGTCAACCCAACGCAGTTCAATCAAAATGATGTAAAGATAGATATAATGGAGGAACACTTAGATGATCAAACAAAAGAGGTACTTAATGCTTTGTAAGATTTCGGAGAGTTAACCGTTTGCTTTAATAATCGTTTCTTGTGCACAGGTAGACTTTGTCATTCCTCTGGTAAAAATGAGTGAGATTCAATAGCTGTTCGTTATTTTGTGGTGTATTTCAGTCAAGATTGAAAATTGACTGGTTCTTTGTAACATTCGATTCTGTCTATGGAAGTAAAGAGACATCTGAAATTATAAAGAATTTTCAGATGAGGTTCGAAGCATTCAAAACCTCAGAAAAAATTATATTGGTTTAAATTGGGGAGGAAACAGAGGGTTCAGAGGAAATAAATTTTTTGCATTTTAACAAGGAATAAGTTTCACCGTAGTTCAATTCAGCTTTAACTCTAATTTTTTATTTTCTCTGGCGTTGATTTGATTTTTCTTCAGAATATCATTTTATTACAGTTTTCAACCCGTAATTTTAGTGATTTTCCTTCATTTACCTCATACCGTAAAAAATTTGAAATCAGTTATTGAAATCACCGGCAAAGTGAGGTTTTAAAAGTTTTTTCAGCATTTTATAACTGAATCTTCATACGAAAACAAAAAATCATCCTGCATAATAATTTAAGTCGACAACTTTGCCAGTGGCGAGGTGTGAAAAAATATCAATATTTCCCTATTCGAAGCTATAGTAAATAATTCATTATTAAGGTGTTCGTTGCAAACACCCTGTTCTTCGATCCTTTGCCATAGGTTTAAATGACAGATCAATCGATATATTGCAAAGCATGCCACGTCACTGAATTTAGCCCCTTCTGTATCGAAAAATGGCCTAATTTGCTAGAAAACCATTGAAAATGTGCACATAGTGGCTTAAGTTTCGGGAAGAGTGGACTGCCCCTTGCAGTGAGGAACTGCTATCTCTGGCTCAACCACAAAAGCACCTATCTGAATAGGGAAATTAGTGGCACATATTGTTTCTAAAATGAATCAGAAATATGAGTTCCTCATTGAAAAATGCACGCCCATTGACATTCACCACATTGGCTCCGACCTCGTGTTGAAGAACCATGTCCAACTTGTCAAATTGAGTGAATGTGAATCAAAAGTTGTCCTCTTTTATGATTGTTAGCTCTAAAGAGCAATGCTTCATTGACTTTTGAAAAAATAAAACCTGCAAACCATTCATGTATGTACTCATTTGTCACATTCAGGAAGACGGATTTGTGAAGATCGATGCCAATAATGAGAATATTTATGGTGCTTCTATGGAAGAGAATGACTTTTCCAACCCAGAACCAACCCCCTCCAAAGCTGAAGCAGAAAGTAAAGGTAATTTCTAAATGATGAAGATCCTTTTTATTCCCGATCTTCTCTTTCTTTTTCAACATTTTATTTCCCATTTTAAAGAGGCAATTTTTTTATGTCCTGTGAGTAATGAAAAGAAAACTCTACCTCAAAAAAACGCATAGAACGCATAAAATACTTAAGACTAGCGTACTTAAAATTGTGCAAAAAGTAATTAAAGGTTGAAGAAATAAGGGAAACTAATTATGCAGTTATTTATTGAAAAATAACCTAGATGTCACTGTATACCTGGAAGCGGCAGGTAAAAGATGTAAGTGACTGTGCAAATGTGTTGATGTTATCCAAAAAAAGGAATAATTTTTTTGGCATATTTCAAAAATAATGTAACCGATTACAAGTTAAATGTTTTCATTCCTGCGCCAATGCATTCAGTCCCATTTCAATAGTACATTCCATATCCGTTTCAGATTAATTTTTGGTATCCTAGAGCTCCATAAAAAAAAAAACCTGACCTCTCTACAAATCATTACACATTACAAAAGAGCACCCATTCATTTTCGTCTTTTTTTCAGATGAAGAGAAAGCCTTAGAATATGTCAATACCCAAGGGGTTAGATTCAAAACGCAAGATCCAATTCTAGATTCTTTAGAAGGTAAGCTGATTAAATTTTCATCAATCAATACATATTTATTTTTAAAAGGGTCTTATGTACTTTGCACACTCGTTTTTTCAAGTGACAACTTTAAGTGTCCGTTATTTACTGATAAGAATGTCAAATTATCTTAAATCCTAATGTACAGTCTCTGTACATTTTGCAGATAGCTAGGGCCGGTGCTCCGGCCCACCCATTATATTATTGTAAATAGTTCATAAGTTATAACAAATAGGGTTAATACATGTATTTTGTAGTTCTCTATATATTTAATAAAGAAAGAAAGAAAGAAAGAAAAAAAAAAATTCAAATTAATTTTGCACACTTCCTGGTACAAAGATATCAACCTCAAAAGATGACTACAGTATGTATCAATCTACAATTAAAAACTGTCATTATCCAACAGAATTTCGAAAATTTGATAATAGTGTTATTTTTAAATAAAACTTTGCATTTAAACCAATTCCATTGGTCATTCCCCAATCTAAATAAATCAACTCATAAACTCGGTTTTGAAACTTTTGCAACTGACCAATTATGCGCCTTTTGTTTCAGCTGGGCTTGAGTCTAAAGGGACCGAGATTATTCCTTATGGCTTAGGTTGTGTCATTGAACTTCTGAGGTTTCTGGTATCTCTTTGTAATTCGTATGACAAACAGAACACGGAGATCATGACTTTTACAAGTCTTTCACTTCTTACTGTGGCATTGGAGTTAGGAGCAGATCCCATGTCTAAACATCCAGCTCTGTTAGCCTTGATTAAAGACAGTATGTGTAGGAACTTCTTTTCGGTAAGTTTAGAACAAATTCCATGTTGGATTTACTGGAAAAATTCGGAGAATTTTGGAATAAAATTTACCAATGTAGCTTAAGAAAATGACTTTCAGAATAATGCAACTGTCCATAATTATGATACTCATATAAAAAATCTTGTTAGGAATTGAAGTGCTGAAAGTAGGAATAAAAACAAACTATGTTTTGATGAAGAGAAACAATTAATCTTACTTTTATATGTACCTGAAGATGGCAGTAAAAAGCTGAAACGATTATTGTACATACAGATAGAAGCAATTATTCATCGGATAGGACAGGCAATAAAACCAGTCTCAAAATTTACCAGATCCATAGCACTCGGTCCAGCAATTTTTTCCTTTAATTTATTCCCTAAAAATACAAAGTGAAGTTAGCTTTTATGAATTTTTCGAAACTGTAAACGGCAAAGAAACCCCGTTTTGAGAATGCCAAAAATGGGACTCGTTTAAAACGATATTTTTGGCGGACTCTGATGACGAAACCAGGAGAAACAGTGTTTGATATTGGCTAAACTTAGCTTGAGGCATGGCCTTCCTATGTCAACTAGGCTGTCGAATTTTGATCAGCTTTTTCTCCCTTCAGAAATGCATATTTGAACTCTTTTATTTTTTCATAAAATTTTACATCAGAAAATTTTACTACAATCCTGCAAAAATTCCTTGCCTCCGTTTAATTGTTCACATTTTCCCACTAACAGTTTGCTTAGTTTAAAGCAGAAAAGCTTCCAGAAAATTTCTGGTACCCAACTATAACTAATTTTTAAATTTTTGAAAGAACAGATAGTGAAAAATAATATTTTTAGGCACTGAATTTCTGATTTGTATATAGATTAATACGTGTATATCACAAACTGGTTATTTTGTTACATTTTATGAATGAATTATTTTTTTTTCTTTCTCCCTTTTAGCTTTTGAATACTGAGCGCATATCCTTATTGGCTGCTGATTTACGATGTTGTTTCTTGTTATTCGAATCACAGCGATCTCATCTCAAGTTTCAGCTAGAGGTAAGTTCATCTTACTGGCAAGAATACCAAGCCCCTTTGTTTCTTTCTTTATTTTTCTAAATAATGGAAATTGGTGGTCAGAACATAAAATTTAAAGATATATTCAACCTTTCATTAAAAAGCCTGGTCGAAGTTTTCCACCGGAAAAAGAAATGCGAAAATAGTGAATTTCCTCAAAGCATTTTCAGAAAGTGATCCACTGAAAGGTCGACCATAACTATCATTCAAGACTGTTTGTAGCGAAGTACAGTCTAATTGAGGACATTTTGGTAAAATGGTATTTTTACCATGCTATCAGAGTTGACAAGTTTGCCCTGATTGCAACCTCAATTCTGACTGGTTTCGGATAAATGAACTTTAATTTCAGTGCTGTGCATTAAATAACCTGTTCTGTTTTTCAGGTTTATCTCAGTCGCCTAGCAGAGCTGATCTCTTCAGAGAAAAGCTCCTATGAAGTCCGTGAATTAGCCCTTGAAGCTCTAGTTCAGTTATGGCGTGTTCCTGGCCTCATCACAGAATTATACTTGAATTATGATTGTGATCTTTACTGTCCTAATTTATATGAGGACTTGACCAAGTTGCTATCAAAGAACGTTTTTCCTGTAACTGGTATTCATAGTACTAACCTCTTGGCGCTTGATGCTTTGCTTGCAGTCACTGATTCCATCGAGAGTCATTGTCATTCTCGAATCAGCAACAATATCGCCCAATCAGACTCAACAGACTCATTGGTAAGCTCTAAAAAATCCAGTCCACCGCAGAGTGCTCAAAAATATCCTAGTCAATCACCAAATAGCATCTTTATGCGAATTAAAGTCTCCGACTCAATCCCTAGTCATGAACAGTTGATGGCTGTCAAGCGGAAGAAAAAGCTTCTTGCCAGCGGTACAGATCATTTCAACGCTAAACCAAAAAAAGGAATTGAATTTTTGCAAGAACAGGGTCTTCTTTCATCACCTCTAGACCCCATTGAAGTTGTTCATTTTCTGAAAGAAAATCCACACCTCAGCAAAAAGATGATCGGTGAATTTATCAGTAACCGTGCAAATTTAGCAGTCTTGGATGCCTTCGTGAAGTCATTTGATTTTAGTGACACGCAAATTGATGAGGCCCTCAGGATGTACCTGGAAACTTTCCGTTTGCCAGGGGAGTCACCATTAATATCGCTTGTAATGGAACAGTTTGCAGATCACTGGCACAAATGCAACGGAGAACCATTTGTCAACTCTGATGCTGCATTCACTTTAGCTTACGCAGTGATAATGTTGAATGTGGATCAGCATAATTACAACGTGAAACGGCAAAATAATCCTATGACACCGGAAGAGTTCAAGCGTAACTTATCAAAAGTCAACGGTGGCCAGGACTTTGATCAAGACATGCTCGATGATATTTATCAGTCAATTAAAAATGAAGAAATCGTTATGCCTGCAGAGCATACTGGACTTGTCCGTGAAAATTACTTGTGGAAGGTTTTGTTGAGGCGGGGAAACAGCAAAGATGGAACCTACATTAGAGCTCCAGATGGGATGTTTGACCATGATCTTTTCTCCTTGATTTGGGGCCCAATAGTGGCTGCTCTGGGATTTGTATTCGACAAATCTAGTGACCCAAATATCTATATGAAAGCAATGATTGGCTTCCGAAAGTGTGCTACAATATCTGCTCATTATGGAATGAGCAACGAATTCGATAACCTCACAGTTTCTCTTTGTAAATTTTCAACTCTTTTGAGCACAGTCAGTAACTATGATAGCTTGACTGTTGCCTTTGGTGAAAATCATAAAGCAAGAGTTGCTACCAAAACAATGTTTAATTTGATTCATCGCCATGGCGACACATTGCGAGAAGGATGGAAAAGTGTCCTGGAGTGTATTTTACAACTGTACCGCTGTAATTTGCTGCCAAAAATACTTGTTGAAGCAGAAGATTTTATCGACTTGAGCGGAAAAATTTCTCTCGTTAGAGAGGAAACACCATTGAACACTAAGACTGAGTCTGGATTACTCAGTTCTCTTTACTCGTACATTGCTCTTGCAGCTGAAACTGGTAATCAAAGAACCGGCACTGCTGAAGATGAGGAGGCAATACAAATTGCCAGAGACTGCATTCATGAGTGTCACCTAGAACAGCTTATAACTGAGTCTAAATTTCTTCGGATTGACTCAATGCAACAGCTTGTGATTGCCCTAATACAAACATCGTACAGTCCTGAGGGGGTTATAGCTCTTGGAACGCCTCAGAACGAGGATAAAGCTGTCTTCTTCCTTGAATTCATGTTAAAAATAGTCATTCAGAACAGAGATCGTGTAACAGTAGTTTGGGAAAATGTTAGAGACCACATTTACACTCTTCTGATGGGCGCTGCCGCCTGCGATCACCATTTTCTGGTTGAACGATCGGTGGTTGCTCTTTTACGGCTCTCAATCCGGCTCATGAGGCGGGAAGAAATGAGCCCAGTTGTGGTGCAGTCATTGCGGATGTTACTTCTCTTAAAGAGCTCAGTTTTGAATCGGGTTGTTTGTCAAATATCCTACGGCCTGTATGAATTACTGAAAACTAGTGCAGCGAACATACACTCTGCTGCTGATTGGACTATTATCTTCACCCTTCTTGAATGTGTGGGTGCCGGAATGCCACCACCAAAAGTCATCGGTAAAACTTACTCTCAGGAAATTAGTGGGACCAAGTCAGATGGTGAAATCTCAAGTGTTGCTGGGGAAGAAGATAGTGGGCTAGGAAATGAGAGAGGTTATACATCTGACTCGGAACTAAGCCGCCTGACTCCATCGCCTACATCTACTTTGTCTGAATCCAAGTCACTCGGAGGAATACTAGTCAGTAGAGAGGGCGAAGCAGAGCCTCTATCTGTTCGTCCATTCACTCAAACCAAATTCTCCTTACCCTCAGACCAGGAATTACAACTACACGATCCGTTTGCATTAGTCAAATGTTGTGAAAGTCTAGCATTTCTAGTCCGAGATGTTGCACATATTACACCCTACAATTTTGAACGTTGCATCAGCTGTATTAGAACTTTTGTCGAAGCTAGTCTTATTACCATTGACAAGAAAAGTTTACGGAAAACTGTCAACGAGTCAAAAGCAGCTCCTGCGAAACCAAAACGGAAACTTCTTCTGAAGAAGAAAAATGAGGAATCGGGCAAAACGAAAACTCCGTCAAATCCTTACGATGGTGATGAAAGTGATTCGGAGGACTTGCCTAGCGGTTATCATCAAGTGCCTATTCAACTTTTAGACCTCATGCACACGTTGCACACAAGAACTGCTCAAATTCATCGATGGTGGGCAGAGGAAAACTCAGACGCTCAACTCACATCGCTCTGGGCGCAGGGGTGGTGTCCACTTCTTCAAGGAATAGCTCGCTTATGCTGTGATTCAAGGAAACAAGTTCGAATGAGTGCAATGACATATCTGCAGAGGGCTTTATTAGTCCATGACCTTCAAGCATTGACAGCCGATGAATGGGCAGCATGTTTCAATCAAGTTCTTTTTCCTCTTATGACAAGGCTATTGATTCCACCGGACTTGGACGAGACGAGAATGAGAGCTGCCACCCTATTATCGAAAGTGTTTCTTCACCACCTTACGCCCCTCCAATCTCTTCCATCTTTCCTAAATATCTGGCTAACAATCCTTGACCTTATGGGCAAGTACATGGTCGTTCACAACAGTGACCTCCTCTCAGAAGCGATCCCTGAGTCGCTGAAAAACATGCTGTTAGTCATGGACAGTGCCAAAGTTTTTTCACAAGGGGAGCAGAGGACAGCTCTTTGGGACATTACCTGGAACCGGATCAATGCCTTCTTGCCCAACTTGAAGGAGGAACTCTTCAAATCGCCGGAAGCTCCTCCTCCGCCTCCTCCACCAGTCAACCCAACATCATTTCAGCATCCATCTCCAGCCCCACCGCAAGTTCCAATGTCTTTACCCTTGCAGTTGCCGGAAACAATACAATCACCTCAGGTCCTACTGTCACCTCAAACATCTCATATCCCACAGACCGTTCAAATGCCTCAACCCCTCCAAGTACCCCCAAACCTCTTTACCCCGCAAATGTTCCCAACATCTCAAACCCCGCAAAACCTCCCAGTGCAGTCTCTTCCGCTTCAGGCGTTACAATTTTCACAGCCACTCCAAATTTCACAAACACTGCAACTGCCTCAAACACCCCTGGCACCTCACACACCTCAGTCGCCAACCTCTGAAATTCAAACTCCCCCTTTATCATCTGCTGGGACCCCTCACTCATATAGTAATATCTAAGTAATTTGTTATTCATTTTGTTGAAAAATAATTTGTCTCTATTGCAACGTCAATTATTTCATTCCAATTATTTTAGCATCATTAAGTGAAGCTGTGATGATCTAAAAAACCTGTTGCTCCTGGTTTTCCGCTGAACTAGTCTTTGTTACATGAGGCACTGAGACTTGAAGTTTCATCAAAGCAGACTATTATATAAAGCCTCCTTCTTAGCATAAGCGCTGTAGACTTATGAAATATTCGAGGAAAATCTGGGGTATTGTAATGAAATTTAACGGTGACAAAATACCTTGATATTGATCCTCTAAATCCAATTATAAGGACTGGAATGACATTCAGTGTCCATAATCAATATTTTTCTCTCCTTAAAATGCCAAAGCTAGTTTCTTAAGCATTATTATCATGAAAATAAATATGAATTCATTGCATTGCATAAATGAGTCCCTAAAAAGTTCATTTAATCCTATGAATTAGATTGCAATGAATAGCAGGGTCTTAACTTGTGAAATGCCCTCCAGTTCTCAGCAATGTAGATATTTTTTTAATTATAATTAATGTATCTTGGTTTTTCAGAGCATTGTTCTTGTAAGTGTGCTTTTTTCCTCCCTTTTTAGAAACGATCTTTTTACATAATTAATGGCTCACACAAACTGAATCCTGCCGAACTTTCGCCTTTTCATCAGTTAGACCGAGTTTAACAAAAACGTAGCAAGTCGCATTTTCGGGGAAAATGAGTTGGGAGTAGTTTAGAGTTCAACTAGCTGCAAATTTTCTGATGTTGAAAATTTAAAGTCAGGGCAAAATTTTGAACAAGAAAGTGGTAGTTAAACTTTGTCCTTGTTAGTTGTTAGAGGAATAAAATTTCTTTTTCAGTGGGTACAAACTTGATGTGACATTGTGCATTCCTGTAAAGCTCGGTCCAATTGTGGCAATCATATCTGTGCAGTCAATTTGACCCATAGTTGGACGTATTTAAATTAAAAGGAAGCATTTCAATTGTGACCTGGGCCTTAAGGTATGTAAGAATACATGCATGTCAGGGTTAATGCCATAATGAAGATACATGGTTCATTTTTTGTTTACTTTGTTCAATTCAAAATCAGTGGAAATTTAAGTATATATTTCATCATAAAATTAATAGGCTGATCAATCATGAAATAAGGAAACATGCTTGCCGCAGCTAATCATTGTCTGAAGATTTATCTGTCTAAAGCTGTTTTTTAAAACTTGAGGAATTCAATGTTGAAATCGCTGTAGCTCTTTTAAATTCATTTAAAACAATTATTTTAGAATATGCAGGATTTATCTGGTGATTTAGCCATGAGGCTATTTATGCATAAAAATGGAAAGAAAATTTGGAAGCAACGACTATTTTTTCAGATTATCCTTCGAGTAATCTTTGAAATTAGATAACATGAAATGTTATCAGTGAGTCAGCATTTATAATCCACCTAAATTCTTCAGAGCATTTATGACTTGGATGTTTATACAAGGTGCTTTTCAAGTCCCCTCAACACATAGCACCAACATGGTATATGTTTGTAATTATTTGTACATACTTTTAATTTTATGTTAATTTTAACAGAAGGAATTTGTTTTTATTTTAGTTATCGAATTGAAGAATAAAAATTGCAATTTTAAATTTCTTTTTATTAAAGTTACATACTTCTGTACCCAGTCTACAAAAAAATATTCAATCCAAGCTGTTTGAAATTTAATTAAAATTTTAGGGAAATGGAACACTTAAAATTTAATACGTTGGAGCTGAAGAGTTAGATTTCTTATTCTTGGGAAAAAGGGATCTTGGCGAAAAATGTTTAGAAATTAAGACATTAATACCACAGCTTAGAGCATTGGTTTGTAAAAATTTTGACTGCCAAAAAAAAAAGAAATACAACTAAACTAAACCAGGGTTAGTAAAGTTTAACACTTGTAGTTGAAAAAAAACTTACTTTTGAGAAAAAGTTAGCCAAAATTTTAGTATGCTACATCAAGACTAAAAAACGTTAGATCATAAATATTGTAAATTTTCACACACCGTTGACACGATTGGCAGAACTTAAATGCTTGCAACTTTTTACTTCGGGTGTGTTCTGGAGAAAATGAAAATTACGATTTTTTTACCAAACTTTGCAGGAAAATGCACCCCTCTCAAATTGTCTTTGAGCGCTGAAATCCTTTTTCCTGTGGATAGTAAATGTTACAAATTGACCGATTTCTGTGTTTGAAATTCTTCAGGACCAATAGAGAATAATGAACTTTTTAAAATATAACTTTCCTTTGGCTACTTTCATTGAAAATAAGATTTTCCATGGTTGAAAAAGCACATGTTTTCCTGAGGTTTTGGTGATGCAAAAAATAGAGATCCTGAATCACAAGCCACCTTTGAAAAGGCACCTTCTTATTGAGTTCATAAACTACAATGAATTTCGGAACATTTTCTCAATATTTTTTCAATCACCAAAAATTGAGAGAAAAACTTTCCCTCAATTATGATGTTGCACTGGTGGGATGAACTGTTAAAGTTTTCCCCATGAATCTAGAGCAACGTTTGGAGAAGTCTGAGATATCATATCTGAATACAGAGAAAATGAAAAGCAAATTCTGTTTTGTAAAAATAATATTTTATTTATACAATGTGAAAACACTTTATCAACAGTCGGTACAATTTACAGCCACAATTAAACAAAGATTTGTCCACAAATTAAAAATAAAAAAAAACACAGGTGCCTAACTAGAGGTATACAAGAGAATCAATAATTTTGAAGAAGTGCAATATTAAATTATTTCACTTATACAAGAGAGTAGGAAATCATTCCAAGACTAATGAATTTTTTTTTGCTTTCCTCGAAGATAAAAATGAAATCAGTTAAAATTGACTAACTTGAGTCATTAGAGGAGCTGAAAGGAGAAAAATAGAGTGGCTATGAAATTAAGGCTTGTCTGTAGCAGGAGAAAACATTTCCCATGAAAATAGTGAATTTAAAATTTGCCTTAGAATCAGTCTTGACTAGTAGCAACTCAATGAACTTTCTCAGGTTAGTTCTAAGGTATGGTAGACTGAAATTTTCTTCTTCAGGAGGTAAGGATTCAGTGACTTGAGACACACAACTTACTAACGTTTTGAGGGGTAAAAAGAAACTTCCAGGAATTTTCCCTTTCACTTAGTGTCTCTCCTCCCTGAACATAACAGCATCTAGCCGCGACAAAATTTAGAATTCTAGAGCAAAACTATTCTAAAACTCTATATTTGAACCAATCTACTCAACCTTCAAAATTATAGATTCTTTTGCACAGGAAAAATTTCAAGATATTTAACCACTAATATAATTTTGCGTCATGACAGAAAGCAAAAAAACCCCAAAGTACTAATTATACATTTACTGGCAACCTTCGACTGGGATATCTTTCTTACTTATGTCCCAATCTCTGTTTGTAACAAAACAAAACTACAACTAATTTTTTATCACAGAAACGATACATTCTTAACCAAATGCAATGGTTGATAAGAAATCGAAAATAACGTTGTAGTTGTAAAAAAAGAAAAAGAAAGAAATTAATCTGATCTTGCTGATAGGAGCAGAATGGCTTCTGTAGTGCAAATATGCACCTCTATAATGATTATTTAACAAAAATTATAATAATTCAATCGAATTACAGTCAATTTTTAAATACATTTTAAGACAAAAGAGGTAAAGAAATCTAGACATCTTTTATTCTAAAAAGGTACAGGCTATTATGACGCTCCTCAAGAATTATTAAATTGTTAAAAAAGAGAGGAAAATGTACAATTACATGCATTATAATGTTGATCCCAATAGCTATCTATGAAATGGATAGCAATGCTGATTCTGCACGATAATTGAGGGCCCTCCCAGCAAGCAGTATTGTATTGATCCGTCCAATCAATACTAAACTCAACAATAAGAATGTGTTGATTTTTCCTTGAGAGGGAGAGATGACTTAGACGAATAAACAGTTAATTTCAATAGTTTCATTCTGAAAACAGTGCCTCAAAATGTCAACTCTCATTTAATTTTTGACAGAAAAAGAACCAACTTTGTAGATTGAAAAGCATGTTCTTCATAACCACGAGAGAGGAAAATAAGTTCCTATGAATGACATTCATTAGTTTCTTAGACGTAAAAGGGTGGGTATGATGTTTAAACATAAAATACATGTTCCCAGTAAAAAATAAGCAATCGAGGCAGTTTTGAAGATCTGACCTAATTGGTTGCTCTTTGTTTTTTCCTAAATCTTATCTACACTAAAAACTTTGATGAACACAAAAACGCTTAAAACTACATCAGTCTCCTGAGAAATGAAATGCAACTCCTAGGCACCAAAGCACTTGTTTCGTTCAATTACATGCAACATCCTCCATTTGAAAATTAGTTAAGAAACTGATTTTTCGGACAGCATGAGTGAATGAGTTTAAAAGTCAATTAGAGCTCTACTGCAGGTTGACTCTTGAAACTTAATCCCTTCTGCTTTGACTGATAAGCCACACGATAATAAGTTACTAATCTATGTTAAATAATCCACTTTCTGTCGAAAAAAAGAGTGAAAGGACGAAACTTCAAATCAGTTCAGAGGGTATAATTTCATCAATTAATAAAGTGAATGTAAAGGTTTTCTCAGCATAACAGGTGGTTAGTTAAGATGAAGACAATTTTTGACAAAATAATATTTATCACATGCAGCTTGAAAAATAAATATTCTCACTCAAAGCGCTCCGACTTAAATGATTCTTCCGCTAGGCTGGGTCGAAAAATGACTTTTTTCTCCGGAAACAAATCATGTTGAAAAAAAGTTGTATTACCATGTCAGAATAACGTACACAAAATTTGAAGCGCCTAAGTCAACTTTAGACCCCTCCGCCGTCGCGATTTAGGCGTAAATTTTAAAAATGCATTTAAAAGGACGAAAAAAGGTAGTTTTCCGTAGATTTTCCCGAGTTACTGGCATTTGGAGCAATAATTTTACGCATTTTGCCGTATTTTAAGTGGTTAAATGAGTAACCGGCGAGCGAATCATAAAAAAACAGCGACGCTGCAGGACGCGGCGCCTACGCTTGCCCCTAGCGCGACGCGCGGCTGAATACCTCCCGTTAGCCACTGATTGGGCGCATAAGGGAGGGGAATGAATGTATGATCGTGGTTAGAACTGATTTCTCCATGAATCAAACCCTTTCCTTCAACATTCTGATGTTCACCTTAAAGATCACCTATTTTTATACTTTCCTCAACAAAGAAAGCTTGAAGTGTGGAGAGTTCAGCCTATTTTTTCAATTTCCTTGGAGGATTAAGGATCCTAGGATTAAGGCAATTGCAAAAATAGTTAATTTGTTCTCATTTCTCCGGACCAATTTAACAGTTCTTAGCTGCTGAAATACTATTTGGAGCTGGGCACGAGGATGCACGCAATGCATGACGTTGAAGTCAGCGCGAGGGCGGGTTTTAACGCCGGCGTAAGACTCATTCGCTTCAGCTTGACAACCCACCGCCTGACCTCGGTCATTCCTAGATGAATGCTATCACCTGATTGGCTGCCAACTGAGGGTGAAAACTCATCCCAAAATTTGAAGTTCCTACGCTTGTCTTGTATTCAGTCACAAGATTTAGTTTTGCCTTATCGTTTGAACAACAAACATCGAGTGAACGAGCCCGTCGAATTATTGTGCAATTTGATTAAGTTGTTAGTTGATTGAGTCGGTTTAGTTGATTAGGCTGTTGATCCGTTGATGAATGATACGCGAGTGTTGAGTTAACATTCGAAAATGATGAAGAAAGTGACGAGAAACACAATTGAGTGCCCTTTCTTTGGTGTTTCCGCGCCCTCAAGTGGTTCAATGATGCCAACAAACCAGGAGGTGATGAAGTTCTTTTTTTACACTCGTGAACTTTTACGAGTCGAAAATTGTGGCCGGAAACCTATAATCCATATGATTGCTTCGTCCATCGCGAAAAAACTGTGTGAAATTAGGAGGAGAGCTTTAATCCCTACTAGCCGTGACAGAGAGAGCTGTTAAAGCTGCGATCATACGGTATCATCAAAAGTACAATGACATTAAGACGAGTACGTGTAAACCTCATACAGGCGTGTCACTTACAAAGAAAATTGACGATTATAAAACAAATTCGCGGAAATTAATGAATATTTGCACTTGCAATTGTCAGCAAATTAAAAAATGTACTTGTAAACAAGGTTCAGAGGTTCCTGAATAAGAGGTGTCGTTTTTAATCGATCAACAGTGTGGCGGCGCGTCAGCACGCCACGCGCATCACTGAGAGTATGTATGCCATTCAAGATCACCATGTGAGTTCACAAGCGAAAGATGAAATCCTCGAAGAGCCCCAGCTTTCATCTACTCCCGCAGGAACTCTGAACCTCCCGGTATACAAATCTCGCTAATGCCACAGCGCGTGGCGCACTTCAGTCTCAAGAGCGCCAAAGTTATTGCATCTTCTCAAGCAGCCCTGAGCTCATCGTAGCCGAAAAGTGCATCCTTCTCTCAGTCGAGATCAATATCAACCGCACGATGGACGCGCTCCTAACTTCATTTGAAGATGCCTGGACCTTGGCCCCCGAAAACAAAAAACCGCTCCTCACTCAAGAACATCGCAAAAAAATGGCAGGAACACCGATCAGACCTTGGACACCTCAGCTATTCTCCATCAGTGAAGGTTCATCCCCAGTGTCTTCTTCCGACGTACAGTTCGCTAGTGATGACCCTAGAAACCCAAAAAACAAAAACATCACCCCAGGCCCCAGTGCCCCTTCAACCCTCAGTGCGCATCTTCCACCAGCCACACCCACCCCTAGTGCAAGTATGCCCAAACCAGACACCGTGAAGCCCAGCTCCGGTCCTACACCCCCAGCCGTTCAGTGCACTACACCACCGTGCAAAAACTCCAACACCCCTAGTGCGCTTATACCAAAATCACAAGTTGTCAAAACTTTCTCCACCTCTACACCCCCGGCAGTTCAGTGCGCTACAACACCATGCGCGAAATCCACCGCCCCTAGTGCGGTCCTGCCTAAGCCAACACTAACCTCTGGGTTTATCATCAATTTTTTTGGAAATTTAGTATTTTGGAAAACAAAGAAACAAAGTATTGTTACTAAAAGTAGTACATTTGCTGAATATGTTGCTTTGTCGGAAGCCATTTCAGAATTATTATTTGTTAAAGAATTAATTAAATTTTTTAATATAGAAATTAAAATGCCAATTAAAGTGTTTGAAGACAATTCAGGAGCCCTAGACATAGCTCAGCGTGGAAATTTTACAAAAAACTCCAAACATATCGAGATTCATTACCATTTCATTAATGACAACTATAAAAAGGGTGTAATTGATATTCTTCCCATTGATTCAGATGAGAACACTGCTGATTTATTTACGAAGCCACTTGGCAAAATTAAATTTGAAAAATTTCGTCGAAATTTAAATTTAAAGTGAGAGAAAATTAAAAAAAAAACAAGTTAAACAAGTCCAACACATTAAAAGTAAATAACATAAATTCAAACACAAATTTGAGGAGGCGTATAAACTGAAATCTTTTTTGTAACAAATTTGTATTTAAATGTAAGTTTTTTCTTTGTATTTGAAATATTTGTAAATTCATCTTTGTACCTTCTTAGAGTAAAAGATAAATTTAAGGAGGCGTATTGATAATGTTGATTCACGCTAGAGAGCAGCACCTATTTCATGTGTGTGAAGAAGTCTCTACTTGTATTGGAATGATGTACTCATGTAATAATGGCGTCAGATGTCGGATATCGTGAAATGTACCGGTTCGGTTTAGTTTGGTTTTGTGGAATAAAGAAAACGAATAAGTCTATCGTGTAATGTCTATTTATTAATTTTCTCAACACCCTTCACCACCTCTAGAACTCCGGCAGCCCACTGCGCTAAGCCACCATCCGCAAAACCCACCACCCCCAGTGTGGTTGTGCCCAAATCACCAGCCGTGAAAACTAACTCCGACTCTACAACCCGGGCAGTTCAGTGCGCAAGAAAATCTAACACCCCTAGTGCGGTTATGCCTAAATCGCCCACCGTGAAAATTAACTCCAACTCTACAATCCCACCAGTCCAGTGCGCCAAAAAATCCAACACACCTCGTGCGGTTATGCCTAAATCACAAGCCGTAAAAAGTACTTCCAACTCCACCACTCCGGCAGCTCAGTGCGCCAAGTCACCATGCGCAAAATCCACCCCCAGTTCCAAACAGTCGAGCGCCCTTCAACCGAAACCCTGGAAGTCGCAAGCCTGAAAAACCGATAATGCACCCTTGGACCCACAACCCAAGCAGACTACCCCCAAGACTACAATGGACACTCCTAGGACCAAAACGCCTGCACCAGCCCCTGGAAAACTAGCAACCACATGGAGAATTCCAAAGAAAACCAACGCACAGGATTCCATGCTACCTGGCACCACACACCCCCCGGCCAGGACTACTACCACACAACCAACATCTGACACCTCCAGGAAACGAAAATCACCATCCGAGTTGTTCCTCGAACTAGGCTTGGACCTACCGGACCTGGACCTGTTATCTCCACTACATTCGCCCGTCAGCGCACCTCCGCCACCTTCCAATGGACTTCCACCGGCCATACAGACTCCGCCATTCTCCCCACCCCCGATTCCGGAACACACTGCTACACCGTTAACAGCAGAATCACCAACGACACCAGGTCCCTCAGTGGCAGCGCCCCTGGAGTCCGAGCCCTTACCACTTTACGCCACAACAGATTAAGCGGCTTTTGGAAATCAGTGGCGTTGATATCAAGGAGACAGGGGTTTTGTTGAAAAGAGCAAGAAGAGCATCATCGCAGAGGAGTCTGGAAGCAAGGAACTCTGAAATTGATAAGGAACCCGATCCAGAAATTCAGGTTTCAGATGAAGAACCGCTCTCACAAACGTCTCATCAAGGATTTTCAACAGATGATGATAACTCGATCAGTTCAGTAGTTGACATGCTTCGTCAGGAAAAAATCGATATCAATTCTAATGTGTGCAAATCATTATCCGGGCAAATGCGTTTGCAATTACCAACAGTGACTGAAATTCTTGCGAGAACTGGTGTGCCCACTAGAGCTGCTGCTATGATTGTCACGACAACTTTAGTAGATGCTAAATTAATTAACGCAACGGACAAATCTAAAGTTGTAGACCGGAGTTATTTAAAACGTCATAGAAAGTAAATGCTCAAGAAAATAGCCGATGTTGAAAAGAAAATATTTTTTTGGAGTATTTGTAATTCTAAGCAGACAGTACTTTAAAAAAAATTTCCCAAAAACAGGAGGTAGCAGAAGTAATAAAGTAAAGTGGGTTATCGGATTTAAAAAAAATCAAAATTTCCTCCCTTGATTGGTTCCCAACTACTCTTCATTTCCTATGATTCTCTACAAGCTGCTAAGTGCTTGCATGTACTCGTGAATTTATTAATTCTACAATTAACCATAACCTTTTCAAATAAATGCCATTTTTTAGTGCCATTATCGTGCTATTTTCAATTGTGTGCCTTATTGTGTAATTGGTTCATATAGTTCAGTTACATAGTAGTTATGTAAATAAATGTTAACGTGGGCAGGCGAAAAACCGACTTCCCTAGAAGGCCAAAAGTGTTTTATGCTTTCATTTACAGCGAGTTTCAACCTGCTGATAATGTCGAGAAAAACTCAAAAAAGTGTAGGCGGTGTTCAAAAATTGTGAAAACAAGTTATGACACTAGCAATCTTTACCAACTTTTTTAAAATCACCACAAAAGTTTATACCAAACTTTACTCGATAAAGAATTATCCAAGAACAGAGGTAATACTTGTGTTTTTGTTTTTAAATTTTTTTATCTGATTGAAAATGGAATCGATTTTTTTGGAATCAAATCGATTTCCCGAAATCGATTTCTTCGAAAAAATCGCCATCATTATCTAGGAATTTACACAACAGCCACCTCTCACAGAAAATTTGAACATCCTCAGTGGAAAGAGTTCTTAAGGAAGTCCACCCTTAAGATCCCTACAAGAAAGGACCACAAAGAATTACAGCACTTGGGTTAGACAAATCGAAAGACTCTGAACAGTTGATCAAAAAGCTTGGTGAGTGGGCAAAATCACAAAAAATGTAGCAATTGAACCCCTAAAGTTTAACAACAGAAGCCAAAATGTGAGTAAGTCTTTTGAAAAATTCAGCTCGGATCTAAAGAGGCTCCTTGTTCATTGTGACTACAGAACTCTCCAGAACGAGATACTAAGAGACAAGATAATGATGGGTGTGTCAATCACGCTTCAAAGCAGTGCTTGTTTTGAACGGAATATCCAACCCGAGAAAAGATCGAGAAAACGCGCAAAGCGGTTGAGGTAGTGAGGACAAATGTGAAGTTGAGAGCTACATAACAAGAAGAGCTGGAGCGTAGCACTTGCTCATACGTCAGTAGATGTGAAATTACAATTTTTGTTGGATAGTAATGTTATCATGACGTCGTGTACTAGCATATTGCTTCAAATCTAAATTTCAGCCGAGTGCTAATTACCACAACTCCTAAATTCCTCGCCAATCAAGGAATTTCTATTGCTCTTTGCAATTCAGAATGTTATGGAGTTCCTCATCAAACCATCACTTCTTGAGGTGAACGAAGACATCCTCAAGAACTGGTTAAAATTCAGGAGGCAGTAGACCAAATACAGTGTGAGAGCTGAAATCAGCAAGAAGGACGCGACAGTTCCCTATATCAATTTTATTTTGAGGCAATTATTTCATGCATAGTGCCTCGAGGAAAAGTGGAGATTTGACTGGTTGTTTTCAGTTGCATCATCTCTTTCTCGACAGATGTGGATCAAGGCTCCAATAGTCTTAAGTTTAAAGAGCAACGATTTTTGTATAGTGAAGCGTACCCCTAAAAAGAAATTATAGTTTCTAGAGTGAGATTAAAATGTTTTTGTAACAAGTGAGAATAAGCCAAATCAATACCTTCGACTTTTTTTTATCTTCCATTCACTCCACGTTTCAGACAACCAGAACGCAAAGAAAAATGGAGGAGGTTAAACTTACTTTGGGGAAATCAGTCAGGAACTTATATTATCAGAGTCTTTGGTCAATTAGCTTTTCTTCTACAGGCGCATGTTTGTGTGCAAGGTATAGAAAAAGTATTGAGCTCAGGGCACTGACTAGGAAAATAACGTCAAACCATCGGTGATAAAAGCTGAACTGAAGCTCTCCCAGGACCTGGGTAATGATAATACGGTACTCAGGTGGCATGTTCATTCTCATCAAAAGAACTGAGGATACAAAATACATACCCTGCAACAGACATAGAAATAATTAGCGCTCATAACTGCAGTAAGGTAAGTTGTAGAGGTAGTTTCTTTATCTTAAAGCTGGTCATGGTTTTATGAGTTTTTTTCACGATGGCAAATTACAAGATGTCTTTGATTTTGTTTAGTTCGGGCTTTCAGTCTGCAATGTTTGTATGTTCGGTATCCGTCCACGGATAAAACGCTCCTGTATGCGAGACATGCCCTATACTTTGGGGTCCTTCAAGGGGGAAAAATAAAGATCTCTTGCATTTCTTGAGACGCAGTCTAAATTTCCGTCATTACTGCACACATTTTTCACCGACTTGGTATTTAAAGGTAGTCTCTTGATTTGAGCGATGCTGTATCTTTCTACAGTCAAACTCAGCAGGGTTTGATACATTTCATTTGATCAATTAACCACCAGCATTTCAACATAGCATAACGTAGACAACCCATTCCCAAATTTTGCAACATCCATCTTAAATCATTTTATAACCGCTAGAGCATGTTATTCAATGTTCTTTGGCATATCGTAATGCTACAAGCTTTATTTTTATTTTTTTCTTAACTTTAAATACAATGAGGGAGAGTTCCATGCTAAGAGCTTCTTCTTCCTCAGTCTTAACTCTATTACAAGCCCAAAATAACTGTTATTGGAGACCATAATGAGTTCAGTATGGATTAAAAGGGAAAATATTTGTAAAACTTAATAACCATTGAAAAAGAAAGTTTAAAAACTCACCATTATTTGAGCAAGAATTAGAACGATTATATTTGATGATTTGCTGCTTGATATTGCATAAAAAAACTGAAAGAAAAATTACAATAAATTAGTGTGGATCTAGAGAGTTCACCATGTTAAAAATCAATTTATCAATATCAACAACCCTTAACCTCTAACCCTAATAACAGGAATAAAAATGAACATTTAAACCATTTTTAACTGATAAAAACTTTAACATGTTGCCTGTCACAGTATTTTAGGTACATATTACAGTGAAACCTCGCTAAGTCGGTTTTCATCGGGACCGAGGAAATTTACCGAGTTAAGCGGGTTACCGACTTACGCGGACTGCTTCTTTTCCTGCCGCGCTTTTTCAAATTTCGCGCCCTAAATTGGACAAACGCAAACGTGCGTGTAGAGTGACTTGTAGGAGTGTTTAGGAGAGCCATTTGATCGAAGAAAATGGTACTAAAGAGTAAAATTTCATGAGATGCACTTGAAATTGCGTGTTGTAAGTGTCAGGACATCATGAAGTCATCGGGTTAATCGTATGTTGGGGTGCCGCGGCACCCCATTGCGTATCACCCCCCGCGCACCCCACGCGGCATGCCGCGCGGTGATGCGCCGCGGCCACCCGCTATGGCGGGTCGTTGAACTGAAAATGCAACGTATCAATACTCGCTAAAATCTCCGAAAAACTCTGCGGAAGATTCCTGGGGGGAGCGGGGAAGGGCAATGCAAGATGGTAGGGGGAGAGGGGCCGGTGCCGATTGGACCTGTCAAATCATCGATGCGTGAAATTGCTTAATTATGCATGCGTGTTTTCACACGCGCGATAAGATAACACGCGGTATCAGATATCCTATTCTCTACTGTTCTCATCTTTCGTGTCGTTATCGAGTGTTTTTGATTCCTTATCTCTCTATTTCCGATGTCGTTTCTCGCACTGCGCTGCGCTTTCTCGGAGATTCGCTCACCCTTCGTGGCGTAACTTGACCCGACCCGCACCGCGCACGGAAACACTACCTACGCTTGATCACGGGTGACGATCGAAGAAAAACAGGTCGAGATGGAAAAATTTCACCGAGTTAAGCGGGTTCAGAATCTGACCAAACCGAGGTATCGAGACTTATTTAGCATTGTGTTATATGGGTGATAAACGGGACCGGGCGATTCTACCGACTAAAGCGGGTTACCGGCTTATCCGGAAACCGACTTAGCGAGGTTTCACTGTACCCTTTAAATATTTACCCTAGCACCAAAGTCCCCCTCCTAAAAGAAACGAACAAGAAATGAAAGTTCAGCGATGCATTTTCCATGATTTAGTGCCTGCCTTAAGCCATAAGCATATACTTGGTTCCGATAACAGCTGGCCTCGACTTTGGACCCTTAAAAAATGTTTCCTTCTTCTTCCTCATTTTCAGTCGCTCGCCCGGGAGCAAGTTCAGGTATTTACTGCACTCCTGCATTTAACTGTTACAGATTATCAGAATTTTCGATTTTGCAGACCTTTGTGAGTTTGGTGATTGCTTGTCCTGAGACTAAAGGCTTTCAGATTTTATTCTCATCCAGGGTGAATATTTCCCCAGAAGGTTTCAGAATCTTTTTGAAAAAATGGATCAGCTCTTTGCATTTATATTAAAATGAATCTATTTTTTGTTCTTTGGGTTCTTATTAAAAATATTGACATCAATCATTAACACGACAGAACTCACCTTGGTAAGAGTTAAGAGAAGACCTCTGATGGATGTCACAACAATGCAACCAACTAAAAAGAAAGAGATATGCTGGGACCAGAAAGTTACATCAATGTTCAGCCCAACCCAGTGAACCAGAATCTCCATTCCTCTAGTTACAGGGTCTTTTTTTCCAACACGGTCAAATATGATATTGATTGTTGACTGAAACATAAGAAGATTTTGAATAAATAATTTAAACAGAGAACATTTGATTAAGTTTTCAATGAAACAACAGATAAGCTTCCATTTTTTTGAGTGAAAAGTTCTTGACGAGTATACAAAAAATGCAGGATAACCGATTCCATTAGGCAAAGTAAAAGTAATCAGGAAAGCACAACTTTTTTTCCTGTGGGTTAAGGTGACTATCGCCATCTCATGAGCAAATCTTAGGAATATAGTTGTGATCTTGCGAGTGCAAGCCCACTTTCCAGCCTGTTTTTCTTTAGGTCCAGTTTAATACATATATGCAAATATGAGCTTGCGATCTATTTGAGAGGGTTTCAAAACCCCTCTGATAAAATTTTCAATTTTCCGATTAAAAACAAATCTCTTAACTTATTCCAGATCCTGTGTAAAAGTTCCCACCCAATTCAATTCAAAAAAATTTTTCATTGGGAATTTAAAATTATTCTACAGAATCAAGAAATTTCCAAAAAAAATACCGCTTACCCCAGGAAAAGTGTAGAACTTTTTCCTATCTACATATGGAAGTCTAATCTCCTAGAAAAGTGTTTGTTGTCTCCTGGCACAATTGAAGTGTGTCGTAATGTTTGTCAATTTTCCTTCAAGGCTAATTGGATCCATGATTGGTGCAGCGCAGTAATTTATACTTCCATTTTACAAAATAAGGCACTAAAAGCTAATGATGCAATGCAAAATTTTTATCTCTATTCTGAGAGAAGCTTTGCACCCAACTTTACTTCATTCGTTTACATTGTATCCATGGTTCAATATGCTCCAAAACTACTTGAAAGAATAAAAACTTACGATAAAAATTTTCCACAGACAATAAAGAGAGAAGAAGTAGCCGAGGAAATTAAAGTATTTTCCTCTCCATGTTTTAGCCCATTCTGCTCGCTCCATCATGTTACGTGTGTCATGTGCTTCAAGGAAGAGCTGACGACTGAGCTCTTCCAGTGCAGCTGCTTCTTGCTTCAGCTGATTGATATCTATCTTTAATTAAGGAAATAACCAGTAGAAATGATGATAGGAATTAGGAAACTCATTAAAGTATTCCACTTATGCAACAGCTGAATTTCAATCTTTTCTAAAATGATATTTTATTATATTTTCTCTGGTTCCTTCCCGTTAGGAAAAAAAAGATAAATTAAATCTTGTAAGAGACTTGGCTCCTTTCTAAATTTCCAATGAGTGATTCTAATTGCAGAGAAATAAATCAAATTCTTACTAATCAACCAGCTTTTTGACAACCAACTGACAGAGTCCTCATTTTCAAAGAAACTCAGTTCCTGCGCGCTGAACTTTCATGAACAAAATATGACGTTTTATACAAAATGAAACAAAAAATAACAAAATAATTGAATTTAAAGGGAGCAAAGTTTTGAAAATTAAAAAGGATACTTTCAGATGATCCTTTCACTGAACTAGTGACAGTCCTCAGTATACCCCACAATCCATGTTGATTTCGATTCTGACTACCATTGGACAAAGCATTTCCACGCTTTGCTAGTGCTATTCTCTTCTTCTTTACTATTATCATGTCCATCGTTTGCATGAGTCGTTTTTCAATTGAATGGATGTCCGATGGCTTGACATTCCTAAGAAAAAAATTTAAATCAAATTAGTATAATTTTTCGAGCCCTGTGCAAGTGATAGAATTTATGATTTTAAATGATGGACCTCTACACAAAGTATAAATTAAAGCACCCAGATCCTATTCAAAATTCTACATAGAAGATGATTCAAGCAACAGGAAGTTAGGAAATCAGATTCTAAGCAAGATATAAACATGTGCTTTTAACACAATTGTTAAACTCGGCAAAAAAGTTGAGAGTATATAATATACAGCCAAAAAATTTCAAAATCAGCTTATTTTCTAGTTTTTCCCCATTTTTTGCTGGAGAAGCAAAAGAATTCCTAATGCGGCATGCAAAATTGACAGCAACTTCATTGTTTGAATGTAAAATGAGAATAATACATAGTGACTAACACAATCACTGATTGTTACACTGAAATCTGAAATCATTCAGATGTCCACAGAAAATAATTTTTTTCTGACGTTTTAGTGCAAGCCAGAACATAACCTTTCTTGGCTGGTAAAAATATCTGGCTTGGCACTCCACTGTACTTGCAACACATGTATTTCAAACTCATTAAAATAAACAAATGATACCTTATGAAGTATGCCATAGATGTATACGGGTAGTTGACAGCACCAAATCCTGAGAGAAGTGCCATGACGGTTACTCCGATGACCCCAATTCTACTGATTCCCTGTTCAATAGATAAAATACCTTGTTTGGGACTCAGAATTGGGAAGGGGTCGCCCAATTTCCAGAACAAGTAGAAGTAAAAGAAATAGATGAGGAATGTCAGAGGTCGAATCATCTGTAATCTCACTGAAACATCAAGACAAAAAAGTTACTATCAATAGATTGGAAAGCAACCCAGTAAAAAACTTTTGGACAAATATCACATCTTTAATGAAGGAATTTCTAAAGGATATTTTGTTGTAAGAGACTCAGTGGCTTGAATTTGGCGAAATTGATAGAGAAATTCTGATGATTAATGGAACATATTTTTTAGCTGAGAGGCATGAATACTCACTGTCAACATTTTCTTTTAACTTTTCAGTCCCGATTTTTCCATTATCTTTTTATTAAATATTTGCTCATATCACTATTCAGTATTCAAGCTGAAAGTTCCTTTTTCATTCTGAATTATGTTCATTAACCCTTTTATCCAGGACTTACTTTGCTTGATCAACGAGATAAGAGACAACCCAGAGCAAAGCCCTCCAATCAGAAAGAGCCAATGAATGGCATGACTTCTGACATCTAACTCCCTTTAAATACTTAAGCTTCATTCGATTCTGGGCCTGTGGATCTTTTAATCCACAGGCATCATATTGCGTCTCTCTCAAATCATCGAACGTCTTTGACTCTCCGTGTTACGATCTAGCTTGTGTTTCCGTTTTGTGATTTTATGCATTTTAATAATTAATACAACATGACCATTGGCTTGAGCTCAAAATTTTTCGTAATTTTCTCTCGCTCTCCCATAAGCTTTCGTTAAACTTCCTTAATCAAATCTATTTATAAAACACTCACCGAACTGAACATTGCTCATTATGAAGTATGCAATGTAGAATGGTATTATTACAATGACCATGAACAGCATCATGTAAAGTCCAATATTCCAATGTAAATATCGAGAACTGAAACCAATTCAAGAGAGGAGAGTTTAAAAGAACAGAAAAAACTATAGGCAATTGGTTCTTTGTTTAGATTAAATACATACAAATGACAGTAATTTAACAATATAGACACAGAAAAAAAGGAGAATGAATTTGTAAATGAATTTGTAACAGCAATTTAGTATTTTATCAGTGGAATTTTACGATTGATCAGATTTGGAGTTAGATTTGTGGTAAGCTCAATTTTTCTCAATTTAATGGCAAGGTCATTGGTTATTTGATTAAGATCTTTTTAAAAATTTTATGCTGTTATCGCTCAAGTAACTTGTTTGGGTTCAAGTTTTAATATAATGTTCCTTAAGACCTGAGTACAATAAAATCAAATTTTTTGAGTATCAATCTAGAGAAAATCAGGTCTGAAAAGTGCATTTTTGGCATTTAAAGACAGTTTATCGTTCGGAGAAGTGCCACCGGTGAAGTTTGACGTTAGCCTCCATAAAATTTTTACCATTTTCAGTTTAAGTGATATCATCGACGAAAGTACTGACAAATCCTTTTAGTGGCTTTGGGATGTCATAAGTGAACAGATTGTATAAGATAGGACCTAGCATGCTGCCCTGAGGAATACCTGCTGTTATTGGGTGGAATTTAGAGTATTAATTGTTGAAGCGAATTCTGAACTGTCTGTTGTGGAGATACGATTTCAGTAGTTGGAAGTGGTTTTCGGGCAACAGGACCCAAATCTTGCAGAGGAGACCTAGTTGCCATACTTTATCAAAGGCCTGCGCAATGTCAAGAAATGCTGCCAAATAGACTTTCTTGTTTTCTAGGATCCTCTCTACAAGAGCCGTCATCCTGTGTACCTGCTCAACAGTTGAGTGACCAGTGCGAAAACCGAACTGATGATTAGGAATGATGTTTCCCTCGTCTAGCATCATCTTACTCAGGAGATCGTAAGGAACATCAAATCAAAAAACTTCAAAATTGAGCTAGCACCAAATTTCTTGGTATTGGGGGTGGTGGCCCTCCCCAAGAATTCTATTTTCACAAGAATTTGTTGGCGGTTGAAACGTTTGTTTTGTTTCCAGTAAGTTTTTTATTATTTCTCATCTCTACATAGTTTGAGATATTATTTGTTTAATTTATTTTTGGCCTGTAGCTCAATTATTTTTTAAAAAAATTACCTTGAATTTAAGACATCAACTATTTCAAAAATAATCAGCTCAAACATTGTACATGACAGTGAAAAAGTGATTGAGAATATAAGCTGGACCAGGCGGTGATGAACTTCATAGTCTCGGAAAAGCTGCTTCACAAAGAAAAGCCATCCGCCCACAAAAAATATGGCCTGAAACAAGAAAACTAAATTGAAACAGGAAATCTAATTATTTATGAAAAGTTGGCATTTCGGCGATGCAAACTCTCTTCCTTTAGTCATTAATAGGTATCCTGTAACTCACATCAAAAGGTACATGTTGACTGTAGTCTATAGATGTGACTTCTGGCTGTTTGATGCAAGTCATTGTCTACAGTGTCATACTGTCCTACAGTCATAGAGCTAATTAATCTAGGTGCCATAAAACCAACTTACAAGGGGAGTCTACGAAGTGACATCCTGGGATTGGGTTCATTTTGCTTGTACATGAAGAAGAGACAAATCTAAGGTTGACGTATTTTTTTTTAGCCGCCACCTCCCAACCGTTCTCGAGATATCGATTTTTAAAGTTACGATTTTTGCACGTTTCCGCGCGGAGTTCCGGCGAGTCAACTGAGCGCCGGCAAGCTGCACGAAGCGCGTTTCCTATCAGCGCTGCAGACCGGTCACCCTTATCAACAGTTCCGTGGCCAAGTGGTAGAGTGTTCGCCTACCGTTTCATCGATCGCGGGTTCGAATCCCGCCTCGTGCCGTAGCTTATAGGGTACGCCGCAATGCGTTTTTACACTTTTTCTTTATTTTTATCACACACCAAGGGGTCCGCCCCCTGGCCGCTGCGCGGCTTAACCCCCGGGGCGAAAAGGCGCGCTTCGCGGCAAGCGAAATCATCGAAATCGACCGTTGACGGTTACTGGGCAAATAATTTTAATTGAATGATAAAATGATGTTTCAAATAAAAATTTCCCACCACACAATATTCTTAATGACTTTTTCCTTACTCTGAATTTGCAACCGTCAACGGTCGATTTCGATGATTTCGCTCGCCGCGAAGCGCGCCTTTTCGCCCCGAGGGTTGGGCCGCGTAGCAGCCAGGGGGCGGACCCTTTGGTGTGTGATAAAAATAAAGAAAAAGAGTAAAAACGCATTGCGGCGCACCCTATAAGCTACGGCACGAGGCGGGATTCGAACCCGCGATCGATGAAACGGTAGGCGAACACTCTACCACTTGGCCACGGAACTGTTGATAAGTGTGACCGGTCTGCAGCGCTGATAGGAAACGCGCTTCGTGCAGCTTGCCGGCGCTCAGTTGACTCGCCGGAACTCCGCGCGGAAACGTGCAAAAATCGTAACTTTAAAAATCGATATCTCGAGAACGGTTGGGAGGTGGCGGCTAAAAAAAAATACGTCAACCTTAGATTTGTCTCTTCTTCATGTACAAGCAAAATGAACCCAATCCCAGGATGTCACTTCGTAGACTCCCCTTGTTAGGCTCAGGGATCTGATAAGTAATTTCTTTTGATATTATTAAACTTCAACCCACTGCCCAAAAACCAAGCAGATAACTATCCAAATTTCAGGGATTCAGTTAAGTCAACATTTACTGATGCAATACATAAAAGAGTTGCGCTGAGCAACTAATACATGGCCTCTTGCTGATGTCAGTATGTAGACCAGTTTTGCGCTGTCAATGCGCAAGACTTTCAATTTGTGGTACAGGTACGGAATTGATTGGATTCGGATTTGGGTGATTTGAATAGAAAGTGCCAATTTGTTTCTTTATTCGGAATGTTAAAAGTTCAAGAAGATATTGTATTACCTGAGTTACTAAAATAATGAGTGTGTCTTCGAGGAAGCCCATGACGATTGCTTTTGTGAAATTATTCAAGCACACGTTCGGTACAGAAGTATGACGTTGAAATGTTGATTAGGAGAAGCATAACGAATTACGGTGGAACCGACTTACTGCAAAAGTAAGTGTTGTAATGAAATAATTTGATTAAATTCAATCCACGTACAGTACAAAATTGGAAATGCACAGACACACCAACACTGGCTGGAGTTGACTGATGGATGACATCGATGGCTTTGTGTTGCTGTGTGTTGCCAAGTCGTACGAATCAGTAGTTAAATATAAGATAAAGCAAACAAAGTAATGCCTAGATGAGGTTTGATGAAATTTTTCTCTTTAGTTAAAATCTTTTTTATATTAAGTGTCTTTTAAAAATATTTATGATCCTATTCAAATTAAAAAATATGTTTTTTGAAATTAGACAACGCTGTATACAACTGTTTATGTTCTAAATTGTTTACACATTTTTGCAGGTTAGTTTGCCTCCTTTGCTTTTCACATGATTTTGCCGATCACCGGTGATTTTATTCTTAGCTATTTTGGCCGTTTCTAGGTAAGTTTTTAATCGTTATTTATAGTTTTATCACTCCGCACATTACTCTTTGACATTCTTAAATTCTACCTCATTTGACCAATTGAGAGTCATTTGGATTTAATAGATGGAAGGTGTGATGTGAAACAAGTATTAGAAACTTCGAAGGTTGCAGACAACTTATGTACCGTTTCTCTCTCCACTTTCCCACGATATCCTTTAAACTTCAACTCTCTATTTTTCTACCTATTTTGGCAAATAAATAAAATAAGTTGAGTTCAATTCAAACTCATCTATATCCCTTGCTTATTATTTGACAGCAAGCCTGCGGGCCGATTATTGAAAGCTTAAAGCAGCCCGATACGACATCGAATTGCGATATATTGCATGGTTAAGATAGGGCTATGTCTCGTCGTATTGTATCGACCTAGCTTCAATAATCGGGCCGTAGGATCTTCGAATGTGCAAATGTACCTTTCGTTTCTGCCCTTAAAGCAATACCACAGGACGGTTACTAAGTCTACCCCTCAGCTGCTACTTTTTGTGTTGTAGACTATAAACCCTGCAGTTTGAGATGAGTATCAAAATGTTAGTATTTGTGCACTAGAGACCTGATCAGACTGGTTAAAGCAACTGTTAGGTAGGCTGGCTTCTCGGCAAGTGAGGACGGTGGGACAGCGAAGAAAAAAAAATGTGAAGCGCGAATTTGATATGTAAATTTGAGGTTTATTACTTCGGACATAAAAGGTTCACATGAACATGAAGCAAAATATCACTGCAAGGCGAGACTCAACAAGCAAATAAAAAATTGAAGCATGAGGAAAATCGAAGAAGGGACCAGTTTCAGAGCTCTTCCCTTTACCTCAAGAAGAAATCAAATGAATCACAAAATGGCCGGTCCATCTCTCTCCCAATCCGATGTTCGATTGTGACGCTGCGCGCGGAGAGGTTTGGAAGCTTCCTCATTTCGAGAAGGAGGCGGGAAGCAAACAGAGGTGATAACAGCAACTTATTTATTTATGAAAGCACTTTCCCATTTAGGGAAATCATAAGTGTTTCTAATTATTTTTTTTTCTACAAGAAGCCAAAAGTGTTAGTTCTTCATTCTTTGTTTTATGTTTCAGAAATGGCCGGAGTACTATTCGAGGATATATTTAATGTCAAAGACATTGACCCAGGCGGCAAACAGTTCGATCGAGTCAGCAGACTTCACTGTGAGAGTGAATCTTTCAAAATGGATCTTATCTTAGACGTTAACACATGGCTATACCCAATGGAATTAGGAGACAAATTTAGGCTGGTTCTTGCAGTAACACTTCGAGAAGATGGTTATATCGACACTGGTGACTGGAATCCGATGGAGACAGAAGGCTCGCGAGCGGACTCCTTTGAGTATGTAATGCACGGCTCAATTTACAGAATAGAAGGTGAAGACAGTTCAAAAGAACCTTCAAAAACCAAACTAGCAGCCTATGTATCATTTGGTGGATTACTTATGCGACTGCAAGGCGATCCCAACAACTTGCACGGGTTTGAAGTAGATCAAAGCCTTTATCTACTAATGAAAAAACTTGCTTTCTGATTCTCTGTTTCACAATGTTTTGTATTGTACCTTTCAAGAATTATTTTTTGTAATGTTTAAACATCCTGCATGTATATATTTATTTATGAATTAAATGTAAATAACACCAACTTCATCATGCATCTTTAATTACATGACCCTCAAGTATCTGCAGACAATTTTAACAGCTTATCACAGAAATTATGTAGTCCTTTCCTTACCAACTGTACTTAATTTGGAAGCCTACTTTGCCACTTTGCAACACTTATTTTCCTGTATTAGTTCAATATGGCCTTCAAAAACAAAGTAATAATTTTTTGCTAATTACATGCAAAGGTTGGAACTTGGTCGAAAAATCATCATGAGTAAAGGGGAAGAAGTCATGGCAAATTTGGAAAAAGAGGCAATAGAGAAGGAGAGGTAGAATAATATATATATTAATCATAATCATTAGTAATAGAGAGGGAGCGGTAGAATAATATATACATAAAAGAATATAATTAGTAATATTTAAGTATTCCATGCATATTTTGTACATTCTATTAAAACAGTAACAGCAGCTAGGACCCCAGCAAAAAATGGAAGAAATTAACTATTGAAGTTCACCTTCCAACTACAGATTATTAAGGGAATATTTATTATCAAATCATGACGAACATTCACGAAGCCCACTCGGGGCTGCTATGTAGGGTTACTTTTCTGGGTGGTTTGTTTAACTAATGCTGATTACTCAAACTGATTTCAACCGCGAGTTAAATCCGGTTTGTCACACCAAGTTTTGCAAAAGTCCAACTCCCTGATCAAATGGAATGCATAATTTATGAATGACATTCATATTTAAGTTTTTGCATTCGACTAATGTCAGTTATAATAAATACTTATATCTTTAGAATTGATTTTCGAACTTCACGTTGTGTGGAATTTTTCTTCGCAAAAATTGCGAAGACAAGGAATGCAACAGTGCTTGCTTCAGATCATATCATATCCGAATCATATCTTTTCTAGTCCTCATGGAAATTTCGACCGCATTCTCGAAGTTCCCGCTATTTAGATCACGTGACAATCTCAATACCAAATGGCCAATCAATGAGTTGCGTACTATTATTGCGCCGTAGTTTGTAATCTTTGGTGAGTGGTGACTTTCTTGACAGGTCTAGAATTTTTGATAAGAGATAACACGGCATAAACAGCGTAAACAACCGTTAAAAAGTATTAAATTATAGAAATCAGTGCGTAGTTAATTCAGTTCATCATATTTTTTATCTGTCGAGGGTCTTTCCATACCGAATTGGATCATCTAGCCCGGACTATGGAACTGTCATCGGATATTTCCTTACTTTGTTCAGTCAAGTAGTATGTATATACTAACATACGCACCCCTAATGTTGTATAATAACTGCTTCATGTCATGCTGCCTCTAAATCACTTTTGAATACATGAATAATGATTAAAGTTTCACCTCTAAAGGTCTTGATAGCTTTGAATATACTTCTATTTCTTCTTTGCGGTTTTATCCTCCTTCTAAAGTTTTTCGGAGTCCAGTGCGTTCTAATTCAGAGTATTTAACACATCCGCTATTAACGATCTCCATTGAACAATGAGCAATGTAGATCATGTCTGATCATTTCATCTCACTGCTCCAAGAGGATATCATCTATCCCTACATATTCAGCAAACTGTCACTGAAAGATTACTTCAACTTGCGATGCCTGTCAAAAGCGTACAAAGAACTTGTAGATTGTTATTTTCAGCAGTTGAAAACCTTGGATCTGTCCAACTACAAAAATTTTTCGGAGGATGCTTTTAGGGTAAGTTTGCATTCAATGTTGAAGCTTTTTTGAGATGATTGTAGATACTTGATGATAACTAGGATAAGCTCTGGGAAAACGTTCGTCTACCTCCCAACGAAAACTTTAGTTAGAATGACGAGAAGTGAAAAGTATCAAAGTCAATTGATCTGAAGTGCTGAAGCACCTGGAGTGTGTCTGTGATTAGGGATATGAAATTTACTAAACTTTCTTTAAAAAAATGTGGAAAGTATTTTTTTTTTATAACTGGACCATACATAGAACAAATGTACACCTATAATTGCTTAATTTTTTGTCTCCTTATGGTCTTAATGGAACATACAATGAATTGCTCACAAGGAATATGGTTTGTTTTTCCTCCCAATATCAGGACATTCCCGGGTTACGTAAGTCCCCAATGTTGTAATTTCCAACAACTCAAATTATTCTTTGAAACCCCAAGAATGGTTTTCCCAGATTGCAGAATATATTTTAAACTTGATCGCATCAGTTAATTATCGACGGTGTAAGTCGGCAATCACATAACTCGGTTTGCCATGTCGCAGACTTCCTGTCATACTTTATTTTTTAATTGGTAAACTACTCAACGGCAAGTCTCTAAAAATACTGTGATTTTTCTTCTCTGTGTGAAGAAAATTCTGCAAAAACTTCAAGTAATCATGTCCATTTGTTCTCCTTTGAATAAATAACATAGTTGCGGAGATTTTCAGACACCGCAAACGAGTTATGTGATTGGCGACTCACACTGTCGATATGTATCTTGAATCACTGTTAGTTCACATTTCCTAAAATTCCACCGAATTAACATTTTTACCGGTATTTTTGCAGATCTTGAATTTGAATTGTACTCACTTGACCTGTATTCAGTTGAAGTCTTGTCCGTGGATAACCAATGAACTCTTGATTCCTCTTTTTAAGAATAACAAGAATATTGTGTCTCTGAATCTCAGCCATTGTGAAAATCTCACTGCAGCCTGTTTACAACCAGTAATAGTATCCTGTAAGGTAAGGGCCTGGTCCATGGATGAATATATACTAATGCCTGGTCTCTCTTTTCGAGCTACTGTTCAATACCTATTTCAGTTTTTAAGAGACATCCATTTCACTGTTATCAGAGGCCTGCTGGGCATTCATTTTATTGTTCTCCATGGCTTACTTTTGTGAAAATAAAATTACCAATTTTTTTTCAGACGTAAATTGTAGTAATCAGATACCTATACAAAAACCTACGATGAGTTCAATCCCAGGGAAAACATTGAGGTTGAAATTACATACCGATAAAATCTCATTCACTAAGCTATCCTTTTTTTCTCTTTACCATTTCGAGAAAATACTCACTTATTCTCGGAAGAAAGCCTTGTTTAATAAGGTAACTTCACGTATCAAGGCTGGATTTTAAAGTAAATTTACCCCCCCCCCCCTACCGAAAGCCCTCACCCACCCAATAACAATTATTGCTGTGAAAATACCAAACCAATGTATAAAGTTGGAGGGAGAGATGAACAAGTTGAATAAGTAATGATTTCTGTAGAACAATGACTGAATTTTAAAAAAAAAAGCCTTAGCTCAAAAGGTAGTCGAGGGTATTTGCCTGCCAACTCCGGTCGCCAGATTTTCATCTCATACACAATGGTCCTCATTCTAATGAATGGCAAAGAACCAAAATCAATCTTCATTAGCCACCGAAATATACTCATAGGTAAGTCTTAAAACCCTTTTACTTTCTAAGCCATCTACTCCCCACACATTTACCCCCGTATTCTTTTTATTATTGTCTCTAAAAAGGTAACATTCTAAACTTACATACTTGCTTCTTCCACAGGAACTAAAAGACTTGGATTTGAGCGGTAATCATTGGTTGACAAATGGTTGTTTAGAAGCTTTGATTTTTCACCACACAAATTTATGCTCATTGAATCTAGCTGACTGCTCTCAAATTTCTGATCAATCTGTGATTTACAATCTGCTACGCAAATTTACCAAGTGAGTATCATTCAACAATTTACATACCTACTCGCCTGCATGTGGTTGTAAGTAAACTCGTAACAAATAACATGGCTTCTGAATTTATTCTGTATCAAGTAGAGAATTGAGTTTCAGTAAGACTTGATGTGATACTTTACTTGCGCACTTCATAATTATTTTTCCTCATTTTCTTTTCCCAAGGTTCAGCAAATGAAAAGTTTAATTTCTTTTTGAAATATTGTTTCTTTTTCTTGCACATTTCATAAGTAATTTCTTTTAGTTATTTTCTGCAACTTTTTAGCCCTTTGAATGTGAATATATTCGTGAGTTCTTTCTTGCGTTTTTATAGGTATATCCTCAATATTTTTGTTTTCAAGTTATTTTTTTCCAATCATAAATAATTTTTCATCATAAAGAACTGAGTGAATCAGGAAAAAACCAACTCATATTCTCAGGAAGAGGAATTCGCCCGAAGCATTTTTTGAATAAACATACTATGTACATCAAAATTTACTTATATCAAGAGAGTGTTAGTGGAAACCTAAAGAACCCTGCAATATCATCTTATGAAGTGGAGCCCCATTAAGCCTGCTTTTTGGAAAATTTAAATTTCTACAGGATATGGATTAAATTTCAATTCCTCCTTTTCTGTGTAAGTTGACCAAAATTTTGTCAGACCCTTCAAGTGATCGTGCAGAAAATATAATGCTTAAAACTGTAAAATGCTCAAATTCATCAAAAACTCACAGTAGATAACTTATCAAGTTGCAATTTTGCATGCTGATGTAAAATATGCATGATGGAATATGTTTTCTGCATAGGAAATTTTTGAAATATTAATCCAAAAATTTTTAAAAAATTATAATAGAAAAAATTCCCTCTCAATTCAGACGATTTTTTTAGAATTATCAAGTTGATCCTTCAAGCCCAAAGGCTCCGCTTAAAGTTCATAATTGCCTTCTTTTTATGGTATGAAGGGGATGAATTAAAAAAAACCTCAGATATTTGAGTTCTTTCATTTTTCCTAGGGTGTCGCATACAAGGAGTTTAAAACTGTGGATGTTGCAATTAAGTTGAAGAAAAATATTAATCTGCTGAGGTTTTTGTCTTATGGTTCCCATGCTTTTCACCATGAAATTTTGAATAAATACTAGGAATTGAAGTTCTTCATTATCTTAAAAAAGAGCCCTACAAAATGTAGTGCAATTTGAAAATGGTTGGTTTTCCTTCGTGTACAGTTCATTTCCATCATAATATTCAATTAAAAGAGCAGTAACGCATACCTAAGAAAATATATCCTTCAAATCTCCAACACAGCATACTCGTTGTGTTTCAGGATTTGATTTATTTAATTTTCACACTGAATCTGAGAGATGAATAGATATACGTTTTTGGAGTGGAGGAAAAGATGCTCCAGATTTTTTCAACAAATGCCTGAGAAACATCCTAAGACCCTTTCTGCCGTTTCATTCTTTTGTCAAACAGACTCTTTTGGATCACACTACGTACAAGTCAATGTGGCTCAGCTGAAAAGCAAAGAAAAGCATAGAAATTGAAAAAATTGTTGTAAGATTTTAGCCTCCTTTTGTTTAAAAACAATTCAAACTTTTTCAAAGTCTAACGGAACTGCAGCATAGGGAAAGTTAGTTCTTGTTCCACCTAAGTAAGTAAAAAAATACCAAAAAAACTTCCTATTGACTGACTTTTCTTTTTTCATTACAGTTTAAATCAACTGGACCTCTCTAAAAATCCATCAATTGATAATCAGATCTTGGCTGTTGTCGCTGAATCCTGCTCAAACATGAAGAACCTCAAGTTGGTGGACTGTCCAAACATAAATCCCAGCAGTGATGTTATCCGATACTTACTGGAGAACTGTCATCTGGAAAATTTGACAATTATCAACAAAAATCCACGACGGTTCCCAACATGACAGCGGCTTGTGAAGGTTTAGCTTATTCTCAGGCGAAATGGACTTGGTATCATGAAGACCAGCTCACCTATATTGAGTCTTCATTTCCAGATGTTGTGTGGTTAATGAAAATTCAGCCAATGCAGCTGTGTAATAAATGCAAGAAAGTAAACATTTTTTCTCTATATTAGGGATACGGCGAGTTAGAATGAGTAGTTACAGAATGTTTTTAATCTCAACAACCCGGCGAAGAATTGAATGTGCCAGAAAGGTCCACTATTTTGTCTGCCTCTTGACCTTATCATCGAGTTGCCTGGTTATTCCAAGGACAATAGCTAGTGTCTCCACTACCTCTGTCTTTGCCACTGAAATGTGGAGACATTTACTTAAGTTGACCCTTATCCACACTAGCGATAAAAGGTAGGAGACATAGTTTAGAGAACATGGTCCGAGCATCATCGAAGTGGTTCAATCTGGGCTGTTCTATTCTTTGCTGGGAACTCGAGTTAAGGAGAACAACAAAACTTTATCTCCAAATAAATTGTTTTCAGTAGGTGCCAAAAAATACGTAAGTATTCTGGAAAGTTCTGAAGCGAACTGAAAAACATGAAAATAAATTATAATAAGGAAATCAACCCTCTGATGATTGGTTAGGAGCTCAGTAAACAGGCTCCAACTTATAGAAGAATCTTAAAGTCATTCAAATAATACTAATATTTTTTTTAAAAAATCAAAAAAAAAAAAAAACGCTCCGTAAGAAATATTTAAATTTTAAATGAAGTTTCTCCTCTTTTGTAAATGTACTTTTCTATCCGAGTAGCATACATTGCAATAAATTGCAATTACATAGTAAAATTATCGCATTGAAGTGTTGTGTATGTTGCGTACCCACTGATAAAAGTGACATTTATCACAGTAAAATTGAAGTAAGTTGCAATTTGTCTTTGCTATGCAAATTGCCTGTCCCGCTGATCCATGGAGCTCATCTTATTGATCATTTCAAATCGGCATTAATCGGCCAAATTATTTAAAAATTTTGCTGTTTCATGTTTAAAAAATCTGCAATTTGATTGTATCAAATCGTAATTTTTTCCAAATTTTCGTGTGGTTTCAATAGGAGGCATCCCTGTGAAATAGTTGATTCTTCCCCCAAATTTCCACACCATTCTCTCATGTGAAATATTTTGCAATTAATCTCCCTCAGCTTAAAACATCTTTTTTCCAATTAATACTTTGATCATGTTTACAAGGTGTGCCAAATTTATTATCAAAACTGTTTTGGACTTATTTTTCATGTGAAATTAATGCTTTCTAATTTATAAATTTATGCCTCAAAATGCTTGCTTTGCCAGCTGTAAGCTTGTAAACTTTGAATTTTTCTTTTTCTAACAAAAGAATGGGTATAACTTTTTTCTAGTTTGAATACTTCAAAGTAGATTCAGATTTGAGAATCCGAAAGCAAGAAAAAATATACATTAATAAAGGCACCAAGGCAAAACTATCTGAACGAACCATTTTCAATGCAATCTTTGTAACCTCTAGTTTAAAAAAATACTGTATGTAGGTATCAGATGCATAATTTTTTTAAACAAGTTTTTTGCAAAAGTCCATTTCATGAAAAGCTGTTTTTTTTTTCATGGAGACAAAATATTTTTGACTTTTTTCCATGGCAAACTCAAATCACCTCGCTAACAATCCACAGATGATCAAAAAGAACACAAGCACTGCGTCAGATACTATTAGGTTAAAAAAAAAATTATCCCTTAGAAGTAACATCTTAAAATAGGTAAGCTGATTTTAAAGGATAACATTTTTTTTTACAATGCTTTTGTTCCTCTAAAGGTGATTTGCCTGGGTTCTAGGCATGTACAAACCGGGATACGACATGCATCAATTAAATCAAAAACCTCAGCAGATTCTGACTTTTTAGCCATGAAAAGGTATTTGACCTGTACTTCGAATGTGAAGATTTTTTTCCAGACGAATCCTTTTGAATTTCTCTGAATTATTTGGTTGAAAATGATTTTTTAGGCTCATGCGCAGAGGTTGTCATCCTCTTTTGGTTCATAAGTAAAAATTTGCTTTGGTTTTTTTATTTAATCAATGTAACTTGTAGCACACCTGTTTGACCATGCTAAGAATTCAAGGCAAATTACCTTCATTAGTACAACACTAACTCAGAAAATTTTGGTCCAAATTAATCAGGATTCAAAGGGAAAAATAATTTTTTTTCTTGTATAGTTTTGACTGTTTTATTACTCGAGAAATATTTTACAAATTTTACGGGTAGGTACTTTTTAAGAACACTCATATAATATTTCAGTGCAAATTAGGAAAGTACAGAATTCCGCAGCAAATAATCAGGAACTCTCTAGCAAATATTTTGAAATCATTCACTTACAAGCTTGTGAATAATTCATTTTATGTTATGTTTTATTTCCACTATGGTTTCGGGTTAACTTTACAGCTGTAAGCAAGTATTATGGTTACACACAATAATGTGACACGTAGAAATTCGAGGGTGAAGTATAATGACATTTATAATTGCCGAAGCATTACACAATAAATGTAAAAGGAAGAACGACAGGAGGAATTACAAAATTGTGGGATGTGGGTGTGTGTAATTCAGAGATTTTGGAACAAAAGAGAGCTTTACATCACAGGTAGCTGTCCTCTGCCTGAAGCCATTTTTTTAAAAGTAAACTCAGAAAGGGGCATGAAGAGAGAAAAGAATCTGGTAAGCTAAAATAAAAAAAATCTGCCAATTGACAGTTGTCTTTAATGATAAAAATCCTTAACTTTTCTCTTTCAGACACCCACTAGACTTACTTTTTCCAATATCACCTTGTAAAAAAAACTATACTCACTTCTCTACTCAGCTAAAAAAATAGTAAAAGATATTCACTCTGTGTATAGACTTTGCAAACGCCAAATATAAAAATATACCTTTCAATATGCCCATAAATAACAACTCTATTAACAAGCACCATCTTTTTTGACAATATAATGTTTTCAATATTTAATCAATAATTAAACACTCTCACATGTACCTACCAAGAGTGTAACCAACAAACTCCTAAAAAAAAATAATTTTATCCTTTACTGGAAAAGTTAATCAATCTCTTGTATGAAGACAAAAGTCTATTTCAAAATCACCTGCAAAATTTATCTATAGACTTGTAATCCGGGAAATGGCTGTTTCTGAAAACATCTGTAATTTTTACAATATACCTTATGAAAAAAATTGTGCAAGCAATTTTTAGATAGAACACTATACTTATGACCCTCTACAAAATTGATTCAGTCGCAGGTAACTAGCTTTTTCTTGTAAAACTTCCTCCTTGAAATATAAATACATATTTTGAATTTTGTTTTCATTTTGAAAATACATTAGAACATACAATTTATAGAACAAAGAAACCTCGCATTATTAAAAAAAGGAGTGCATGTAGAAAAAAGTTTGATTCAAGAAAAGATCGCCATTATCCACATGATGTAACAAGAAATCGACAGTGAAATTGAAAAAACGTGTATGCCGTGTTCGGTGCACATCATAGCGAGTAAGCAAACAGTTAACATCATTGAAAAATTCTGGATTTGTATTTTGAAATAGTGTCTGTAGAGAATTTCTGAATTAAGGCACTTTAATATATGTCTTCTCATGAAAATTTAGCACAGATAATGACAACCTCAACAAAAAATTCAAAAGTATCTCTTCGTAGATGATAAAATACCTATCACGAGCTGTCTTTTATGAGAAAAGATCCCTTTGATTGTGTATTTTAGAGAATTTTCCATGAAAAATTTCAAGAGAAAACATATAGTTATTGAAATGATTTAATTCAGAGCCTGTCCTTTCACTTGACTTTTAGAAAAAATAAAAATGAATCAATAATTTGAAAAATATTGAAAACAATGAGTGGAAGTGGTTTATGAGGAGACCAATTGAAATTTTTTTTAAAAAAAACATAGTAAGTAAGTACATGAAACTGGGTGTTCCTCTCACAGGGACCCCTCTTTTATTCCCTCCCCATTGCACTCTCCTGAAAACAGCAATAGCCGAAATTTAAGAGAGCAAAGTACCCCATTTTCTGTCGAATGTCATTCTTTTAATAGAAAAAAATTAGTGTTACTTCTCATTATTTAATAATTTCTCTCTTCTGGTGTGAAAATTTAAAACGACAAAGATCATTTGTTTTTCTTTTAAAAATAAAATAAGAGCAGAAAGTTTTGAACATTACAATAATTGAATCATGCACTTCCAGGATTCAGCCATTAATGTGCCTATTATTAAAGAGCCAAAATATCAATTCATTACTTAAAGAGTTATCACTTCAATGCGACATAGACTTTTAAAAATCAAGTAACCTGTACATTAAAATCACTTATTTCTGCACAAATTATTTCACTTAAGACATGTAGGAAATGGGACCGTTTAATTAGAATACATAAATGCTTTCCAGATCAAAAGCACAAAGACAATCATTTTAGACTTCTCTTCTGAAACCATAGTTTTAAAATTGTAGTGGTATGAACAATCATCAATCCTTGATTGAAATACAATAGGTAAGTACAATCTTCTTAAAATTCCCTCCTAAAATATTTTACAGAGACATTGTAGATACTTACTTTGTGGGGGAAAATTGAGGTGTTCTCATTTCATTTTTCTCCTTAAAAAAGGAACATAAATTAATAAACCAGTGCCAAGTCTAATTTAAGCTGTTTCAGAAGACTATTTCGACTTGTGCGTGAGGATTTGATGATGAGAATGACCATCGTCTTGCAGTCGTGGCAGACCGTCATTTGCAGGCCTCTCACTTTGTCGGCTTTTCCTGACTTCCTTCCCAGGGTTTTTGATCCACTCAGAATAGTCCTGGAAAAACAAACAGCATTTGAGTGTTATGGAAAAAACTTAAATCAAATAATAGCATAAAGAAAGATAGTACCTATCAGAAAGAAGAGACCCTATCCTCCCTATGAGGAGAATTTTAAGGAGATTTATTTCAATTGAGAAGAGAAGAAAATAGACTTGCCTAAAATTGGGCACCAGAGGAAAATTTATACTCATTAGAAAATTACCTGTATGTCATTGAATTAAACTGGACAGAAAGTTGGTACCTAAATGTCCAAAAAAAATTTGACTTGGAAAATGTCTCAAATTGAAGTAAGAGTACCTAAGTACGCACGACAGTAAAAAAAAAATAAGTAAAATGTAGAAAATAAAATCTCTAAAATTAACTTAATGAGCTTGAAATGTACCTATATAAATTCAGATCAAAAAATCATGCCCAACCCTGGTAATAAGTCAGAAAAAATTAAGGCATTTTGTTGCGGTAATTTTTTCCTCCAGCCAAAACAGTGCATTTTTGCAGTACCTATCAATATATTCGTAGTCAGAATCGTTTGCTATTAGAATTTGTAGATACTAAGCCAATAAAACTTTGTAGAGTCGGGGATTTTCTCATTTAAAATATTTCAAAAAGTCAAAGAATTTTCAACCCCAAAAAACTTGTCATCCTGCAAATAGAGATGATCACAAAAGGTCGTGATTCTGCTCGTCTTTGCCAGTGTCGGTCCCGCAAATCGCACTATTTAGCACTGCCATAGACGAAATAAGTAAATAATTTATGAGATACAATTTTTACATATTTCCAAGTAATTTGAATGAGAAAATTCAGAAGAAGGTAAAGCGTTTGTTTGCTAATAAAGTCAGGCGAGTAATTACTACCCTATTAACAGCCTCCATTTTAAGTACTTAATCTATTTATCATTACTTAGTTTACTTATTTATTTTTCAATTTGATCAAATCGATCAATCAAATCGCCTTATCCTCGTGCAACGGCGACGCACGAATACAATGAGTGATTCATTTTATTGTCGGAGGCGGAAAAAATTCAAGGCGCGCAAGCTTTTCCAATGGCTGGATTGGGATACAACTATTCGTGTTGCATACGCAAAAATTGCAGGCGCTCTGGTTTCTTCGGCACAGCGTATGGCTGCGATTGATGGTTTTCGATGGTTTCCTCAGTATTGCGTTCCCAACCCTGTTAATCACGAAAGTATATATTGCAATTTGGATAAGTTTTGTATCACCCAGGGCCATATTCACCTAGGTACTTGCCGCCCATGGGCCGCCTGTATTTTGCCGCCCCCTTCTCATTCGTTCTGAAACTCAATGAAAACCATCAAATGAACGTGCCAGTGGGGGAAGGGTGCATAAGACGCATTTAATAGTGTTGATCACATTTTTTAGGAAAGCCCTATCAACACTACTAGCAAAAGTTCACGGAACTTTGCGCGAAAGTTAAGTTTTGTAAACCTATCTCTGTGTGGACAAGGCCTTCCATTCATAAGAAATGAACGAAAAAATTATGAAAGAACAAACATATATCGACGGTGAAACTACCAAACCACGTATCTCGGTTTGCGACGTCGCAGACTTCCTGTCATACTTTATATTTTAAATGAAAAACTACTTAACGTCTAGTCTTGAAAATTTCTGTGATTTTTCCTCTTTAAGCGGAGAAAATTCTGTGAAAATTTCAAAGAATGATATTGATTTGGTTGACTTCAAAAAAATAAAATGCGAGCGTAGATTTTTAAACACCGCAAACGAGATACGTGGTTTGGTAGTTTCACCGTCGATATGTGGTTTAATGATTTATTTAACTTCCGCCGCCGCGCCGCGCGGACAGCACCGTGTTTGGCGCGATGCGTGAAGTATTCCGACAGTCTTGTAGGCGCTATGCGTTTCACGCCGACCGCACTGTGTTTGGCGCAATGCGTGAAGTATTCATGCATTCTTGTAGGCGCTATCCGTTTCACGCTGACCGCGATGACCACACTGTGTTTAATGCAATGCGTGAAGTATATTCGTGCAGTCTTGTGGGCGCCAATATGTGTTACATGCCGATCGCCGCGCCAAGAGGGCTTCTCCTTTTCATCTCAAGTCCTCGTCATCATTTCTCTCTAAGTCGCGCCGTTCCAGGCCAAATTAAGTGTTTGGTTTCACTCTTAACTCGACGAATTAAAGGTGCTGTCTCTTGTATCACTCAGAGACGACAAAATTAGAAATTACTATACTCTCAAGAAATGAGAGATTTTGTCGCCTTTTCTCGTTTGTAATTTTTTTTTCTAAATCCGATTTTTTTTTTATACCTACACTTAAAAAATTGCAATTTTTTGCCGCCCCTTAGATTTGCCGCCATGGGCCGCGGCCCATGCGGCCACCCCCTTAATCCGGCCCTTGATCACCATGATAGCTTTGCAAAATAGTGCAAATTGCCAATATTTTATCAGTGCTAATTTGCGGGATTGAAATCTACGATACTAGTGGAAATGTTTTTCGTGAAAAAATTTCACTATGTGGCAACGCTGCCATGGTGCTACGCGCTACACGACTCATCCGCATTTCGATGTTTTCATGATAAACAGGATTGTCAATGTAAGTTAGAAAACCATCCAGAACTCGACCTCGACGTTTTACCTTAGAAAGCAGAGCGCCTGCAATTTCTGCGTAAGCAACACGGACATTCCGAGAACACGAATAGTTGTATCCAGATCAAGCCATTGGAAAAGCTTGAGCGCCTTGACTTTTTCCCGCTTGGATTAACAAAATGTGTCACTCATTGCATTCGCACGTCGTCGTTGCACGACGATAACGCGGTTTGATAATTTAATCAAATTGGAAAAGAGAAATAAGTAAAATAATAATAAGTAAGTAAATATAATAGAGGCTATTCATACGGCAATAATCACTCGCCTGGCTTTATCAGCAAGAAAACGCTTTCCCTTCTTCTGAATTTTCTCATTCAAGTTAGTTGGAAATATGTGAAAATCGTACCTCATTAATTATTTACTATCCGCCGTATCTGGCAGTGTTGCCAAATAGTGCAATTTACGGGACCTATATCGGCAAAAACGAGCGGAATCACGAATGCGACCTATCGTGATCTTCTCTATTTGCAAGATGACAAGTTCTTTGGATTTAAAAATGTCCTGACTTTTTTAAATGTATTGAATATAAAACTTGGCCTATAAAATTAGCTTTACAGCATGATAGTCTTACTTTTGCTCCCTGTCGAGGGATTTTGGGTTGGTGGGAGGCAGAGACTGGGGTCCATTCTCCACGTCAACTGACTTGGTTTGATTTGATCTTGAGAGCTTCGGGCTGCAAGGAGCGCTTCCGACGCTCAGTGGTTTCAAATCCAGGAGACCCAGACGATTCATCAGAGAATCATCATTACTGCTTTCATTTGGAGAGACAAGTTGAGGACTTAAAGCTACGACCGGAACATGAGAAAAGTGTTCTGTGGGAATTCGCATCTGAAAAATAGAAAATGAGAATTATGAATCAACTCCGGTTACAAATATTAAGAAAACATTTTCTTATTTTTAATGGAGTTTGAGACAATATCAGTGTGCGGCAGCACTGTTTTTCTGGCAGACGCACTGCAGAAATACCCTGGTAAAAATTGGCACTAGAATCTGTGTTCCAAAATACCATAGACCTACGGCCGGCAATAAGATTTCCAATAGCTTCTATAGCCGGCTACACAATTTCTTATAGCCTTTTATAGCCGATGGCGATTAAGCAACTCACAGCCAGGCGATAAAGTGTATGCTAAACGTCACTAATTACGGATGCTAGGACTTAGTGAGTTTTTGGACCACTGCTCTCTTTTTGGGCCGCAGTATCTTGATTTATTTTGCGAGGAAAGCTCCGTACTTTTGATGGATGCCTGCCATTCCTAATATATGAGAGCGCCTTCAATTTCGTATGATACTGTGCAATACCCCTGGTGTGAAATAGTTGCTTCAAGCGCCGTGGCACGCTGCAGTGCGGCAGGCGGGCAGCCAGCGCGAAACGCGCATTGGCGTCTACAAACCTAACAGGGATACTTCACGCGTTGCGCAATGCGTGAAGTATCCCTGTTAGGTTTGTAGGCGGCAGTGCGTCGCCGCTCCGCTTTGTGTTAGGCTCTAATATTTAATCTGGCGGAGTCAGCGTTATTCAACTCATGATTTTGAAATGTTTGCACATCCTATATGGATTATTCTCGTTTTAATTGATGAAAAAAAATATGTATTAAAGGAAAATATAACGTGTATTTTGTAAATATTAAGGTGGTTCCGTGTCAAACTTAATGATTTCCAAAGCACACGAATTTCTACACAAGTTCTTATAGCATTTTATAATTGATGGCAAAAAAGCAACAGCCAGGCGATAAAGTGTAAAGCTCGGTGATAGAAACTATAGCCCGGCTGAATAATTTTTTATCGCTTCGTATAGCCCGGCCGTATGATTTTCTCCGCGGTCTACAGCCAGCTGTATGATTTTCTGTAGCCTTCTTTAGCCGGCTATAAGAGTTCCTATGGTATTTTGAAACGCAGCTCTTATCGCCAATTTTTACCAGGGTATCAAAAGAGATGGGGATCTCATTCTGCTGTTGTTCTGTTCACCTACAGAATGTGCCTCGAAGGTATTTTCTACTGCTGAGCAAATCAAGGTGCAAAAATCTATGCTTGAAGCAACTCTTTTACAAGGAACTTTCAGGAGAATTTCCTTTACCTCCTATAATGGCCATTGCACCATTCCGACTATGAAACTGTAAAAAATGCGAATTTCGTCTTGCAACCAAATCCTTTCCAATTGCTTATTCTAGTTGTAATTCATTTTTAAATGTAAAGGTACCCAACGTTACTTCTTTGAATTTTCTCTAATCAGTTTCCTTTGTGCGAAAAATATTTGTCCAAATTTTAAGCAATATTATTGGCTCATATCATTGGTTCTTTTGATGAAATATGTCGGGAGCAGAGATTTTGAAATACTATAAATGAGATCAGTTTTTCCAAAAAGCATTCCCATTCCTCCTCATTGACACCAACTTCGTAAAAACCAGAAGCTATTAAACAATTTTTTTTTAAAAAAAAAATGAAATTTTCCGATGCAGTAAGTCATAAGAACAGACCGATTCAATTAGTAAACGATTTGACGTCGTTTTTGTCAGTATGGCATCAATGCACCGCCAATGCCCTACCTCAAACTTTTGATGCTATTGATTTCAAATAGTCAACTGAATTTTCTAAAATAAGGCGATTAAATTCATCAGATTAAATATTAAGATTATTTACGATTATTTCATCAGAATTAATATAAAGTTACTACTTCAACAAATGATAATGTTACGTGTACTTACTTTGGTATAGCACTTGGCACAGACATTTCTCTTACATAGTTTACAGATTTGTCCCCAGGGACCAAAAATACTAAATCTAGTCTTCATACACAGGAAACATACCTATTAAAACAGAGAAACATCATAATTAGAGCTGATTAACCAGGCAATTGAAATTTGAGTCGATTAACTTGATTATAATTGCCAAAAAATTTTGCACTGTGGTTAAGTGCTGTTTTACTCACAACATAAATGAGGGGTTCAGTATCTTCACTATGAATTTTTCCCAAAATGAAGGGGGAAAAAAATTAAATAGGTACTCATCATGAAAACTTTTGAAACCTAAAAAAATTAGTACAGCTCAAAAAAGTTCTGAGTTGGGTTGAAAAAACAATTGAATAAAACTGCATAATAGCGAGTCATCAAGTTTTTTTAATTCGTGATACTATCTTTTCTATTCCGCAGTTGTCTTCTATTTTTTGCAGCACCTCTACAATAATGCTAAGAAGAAGCCTTAGCAAAGGGGCATGAACACTTACTTTTCCTTTTTCCGCATCTTCCTTGACATGATTTTCAACTGGCAAGCTTTCTAACTCTGCTTTTGTCAAAACACTGCGGATATGAACAAATTCTTCGAGTGTAACTGACAAACACTCCTCCTGCCATTGTTTCTGTGACAAAAAGAAAAGAGAAATTTTTGCAATTAGTTCTCCCCTCGCTGGAAAGTAATTTTAGTAAAATATGATGGAGCACAAAATATGGATAAATTCCGAGGACATTGATAGATGAAATTCACTCGTAACATGCAATTACACCCAATTTTATATACCCAGCTCAACTTCAACCCTCAAGAGAGAAGTCAATGATAATCACAGTCCCATTCGGTTACTATTTCTTTTCCTTTTTCTGAATGGGTAGTTCAACCCATCCATCTACTTTTGGGAGATAAAATCAGTATGTTTTTTCCATGATAAAAAATAAGAAAGCCTGGGTGAATGATGCAAAAAACAAGTAAACAATCTCAGATAAAATCCATAATTGCAAAGGTCTCAGGTGCATTACCGACTGCTTTTGTTCGAAAGTCTCGTCAAAGCATGGAAGGAAAATGTATTTACTTTTGAAAAAAAAATAAATGGATAAATAAATTCGCGAAACCCAAAAATTGCCATTTTAAATGATAAATTTGCAACCCGCTTGGCAAATAGCACCCTGCGATGAATTAGATGATATCGTTTAAAATCCTGAGGCCATGAATCCGCGTGCGCCTTCAATAAATCCACATATTTTGAGCGATAACAATTTAAACACGACTGTCGTGGAATTGCATACTTGACATTTTGAAGGAAATTTTTGCGCACCATCTAAAGCTCTATTCATTCAGCGTTGAATCCCAGATAACCCGTTGTGTGACAGTGTGACGACGAAACTCCGTGTTATACTTATTTGTTCCACAAAGTTAAACTCATCCCTAGGAGATGAGCCCCTTGGCCGCTTTGCAGCCCGACCTTGCACACAGATAGTTTTTTTGACGTTCGTTGAAGGCCAGCATTGAAGCTAAATTTTATCGGGAAAAAACATGCGTACTTAAACATACCCAGGATGAGTCACGACTGCAATTCAGTCTGTCCTAGACGGAGAAAAAAAAACTCGTGCGTGGGACCCGAAGTTTTCAGATTGAGCATCTGAACACTTAAGGTCTAGTTGTCGAGGTTTGGATCACACATCTGAAACTTCAGTTTTTACAACTGAAGTACTTCGGTTTTCACATCCGAAAAACTTCGGTTCTCACATCAAAAGTACTTCAGATGTAAGAACTGAAGTACTTCAGATGTAAGAACTGAAGTACTTCAGATGTAAGAACTGAAGTTTCAGATGTGTGACCTGAACTTCGGCAGCTAGACCTTAAGTGTTCAGATGCTCAAGCCGAAAACTTCAGAGATCCATATGACCTAAACTTTGGGTCCCACGCACGAAGTTTTTTTCTCCGTATAGGGCTCCTGATTGGACGGTGATGCAATTTTAGCTAATCGATGAATGATGCATTTCCGAGTAAAAGTCCCGACAAAAAATTGTCCTGTTCTTTGAGATACAGTTCAGATAACGGTAACATAGTTAGCTCTCTACACAAATGCTCTCTGCAGAAGGGGCGTTTTTCAACGAAAACCCCCTCAAATTCATTTCATTGGAGTCCCTCCTACCTACTCCTTTGCGGCACAACTTTTCCCCTGAAAGTTACGTCATCGGCTTTCCTATCCCTTTACTGCCATTGAAAAGCTCCAATTATACTCGTAATAATAATAATCGGTGCCGTTGCGGGAACCGCCCGCACACTCCGGACCTGTTGCCAAATTGCGCAGGAATTATTATGCGCGTAAATCATGATATGCATGGTTTTTGTCGTTGATTCGGCAATGATTTCCCGAACGGTTGTCAGGTGTTATCCTTTCCCCAGTGTGTTATGCCTCTAGTCGACGCTTAGGGGGGTGAGCAGTGCCGGGATTGAAAAGGAGACCATGTGTCAGCTCTGCCTCTGTGAGAGTAAGAACAAACACGACTTCCAACTGCCCGCGTCGCTCTACTTTCGTAGTCACGATTTTTTCTATGACGGCGACGCGACGCGCGACGTGTGGAACCCGCGCTCCTCGAAGATAGTTGGCCTCTCCAGCTGGCTGATTATTGAACTTGATAGACAAAGCTATAGACAAAGCAGACAAGAGGAATGCGAAGGGATCCTGTTCTGCCATGCTCAGGAAAAACACCGTATGAAACTTCAAGAGTCGCTAAATTGCTCCGAATAAAACATGTATTTTAGAGAAAAATCATGCGCATTTTTCCTTAGAACTGTCCGACGTTTTAGACAAAAATGCGAACAAAATTGTTTGAAAAAATTAAAGTAAAATATTCACGATTTTCCTAGAAAATTCGCTTCTTCTCGGAGGAAATATGGCAGCGTCTGAAGGCTCATACGTCGTTTTTCCTTAGCACGGCAGTATTGGTGGTAGTGGGTAGTTGCGATGGACTAAAGAGGTACAGGTAGTGGGCTAACGGCAACCCACGAGAGACCCTATAGTTAGCCCATTATTTTCTCCTTTAGTCTATGGGAATCACCCATTTCAACCAATAAGAACGCCCCATACTCCCTGCGTCTTCTTTGTCTATCACTTTGTCTATCAAATTCAATAATAAGCCCGTTGAGATGAGCTCTCCACCAGGCTAAGGGAGCATGTGCGTGCCCTTCATATCTCAAGAGGCAACCAGGAAACTTGAAGTTTTATCTGAGCTTGGAAGTTGATTTTTGACATTTTGTTTTCCGCTCATTTTTTTCCTAATCAGAACCTCAACTTTTACCAGTTCCAGCATTGGTAAGTATATCACGGCCCCCGCTCGGCGCGAACGTATGTTAATAACGAGACAAGTAGCTGGACCACTTCCGGATGACGGAGGGAGCTCATCAGCTTCCAAATCATTAGCGATCTCATCCTCATTAGGAGCGGCGAAAAAGAGGAAAATGGCGCGAAAAGCAGCTTTTTGCGCGGTCATCGCCAACCGGGCCCGCGTAACTGGGCGTTACGTAAAGAGTCCACATTCTGAAAGTAGTTCGCGTTTACTTCCACAGCCCGTGTGTCCGGAGCTTGCGAGATTACGGCTTCGAGTGCTTCAACTCGTCGTTAGTATCGTTTAGTGTTTGTCCGAGCCAGAATTCCCTCCCGGACGCCCTTGTCAAATTTAGCAAAAAATCCACCTCGGCCCCCCAGCCTTGTTCACACTATTAGTATAAACCCGAAATGACGTCATGAACAGTCGACTTTCGTCAATATTTGACGGCCCGCTGAAGATTGATGGACAGGTTTCATCGGCAAATTTCATCGTTGCACATCGGGAATACAGATTTTTCGACATTAACCATCGATTTTTAAGATCGATATAGGATTAAGAAAAACCAGCAAAAATCCCCCCTCCAAAAAAAAAGTAGAAAAGTAAACATGTTTTATGACGTGATAATTCCCTATTTGTACAGTCTAGTTGGCCATGATAAAATGCATTTCTATTTATTTGTAACACCTCAATGAGTCGGGCATTACACAGTACACAGGACAGCTCGGAGACTTAAACGCTGCCTATAGAAAAGTAAACCACATCATGACGTGATAACCCCCTATTAGTCCGTTGGCCATGAAAGCCATGGTGAAAAACATTTTCTTTTCCAACATCTCATCATCGTCGCAGTCTTTCGGTGACGCTGTATACTGTTGCGTTGTGTATTTCAGTTCTCTGCGAATGCAATAGATGGAGCTCTCTTCTTTCCGTGTACTTAGTCCACCAAGACTCTTTCCCTTCAATTTCGCACTGAAATTCATTAGAGAAACTTCATTCTGTAGCCCTAGTTCCAATTTATGGGTTTTTCGGTTTTGTCCTCCCTTGCACGGAAAAAAAAACCTCGTGCGTGGGACCCGAAGTTTAGGTCATACGGATCTCTGAAGTTTTCGGATCGAGCATCTGAACACTTTCGGTCTAGCTGTCCAGGTTCGGATCACACATCTAAAACTTCAGTTCTTACATCTAAAGTACTTCAGGTGTGAGAACCGAAGTATTTCGGATGTGAGAACCGAAGTTTTTCGGATGTGAAAACCGAAGTACTTCAGATGTAAGAACTGAAGTTTCAGACGTGTGATCCAAACCTCAGCAGCTGGACCTGAAGTGTTCAGATGCTCAATCCGAAAACTTCAGAGATCCATACGACCTAAACTTCGGGTCCCACGCACAAAGTTTTTTCTCCGTGTGGATTAGTGGGGACCCAGCACTATTACACTAGAGTACCTGTATAGGGAGAGTAGCGACAGATCTGAAACTCCGAAAGTCCATCAGGCCTTCACCGATGCCTCCGCGAATAAAGTTAGGGCCCAAAAGGGCAGCCAACCTATGAATTTCGAATGTCCAGAGCGATTTACAAATACAATTGTTACGAACCGTCGTTTAGAAAGCATGTATTTGGTTTACTTTTTGCATAAATTTACTTATTTTTGCGAAAGAACGCCCATTTATGCACATTCTTGGCCATCTTGGTTAGAATTGAAATCTGTAGGCTGGCAGTGAAATTTTGTGTGTTAGAAGTTGCTCAGAAGGGTGGCTGCACTTTTGGGCCCTAAGCCCTCCATGAATCGATTTGTCGCTACTCTCCCTATACAGGTACTCTATATTACACCAGCGTTCCATGAATCCATAAAGCACCCATTTTAAGCTCCCGTTTCATCAAAGAGGTTCTTAGGGAGGATGAAGGGTGTGGCTTACCGTTTGAAGGAGATCTTCTTGGAGGGAGCTGCGGGACCAGGAGATTTCGGGGAGGATGGTGGCGAGGGAGTCCTCCTGAGTGGGGGAGTTGGTGTTGCTGCGGGTGCAGGAGGAGGGTCGCGTGTGGGGCACCGAGAGGCTCCCGTTGGAGTTGACCGGGTCGCACACCACGATCGTGTGACGTCGCATCGACCGCCGGCTCGGGCACTGCGTTGCCAGGTCGTACGCTGCGAACACAAACAAATAATTAGCTTCGCACTCGAAAACCTCTTCATAGACAAAAATATATCGACGGTGAAACTACCAAACCACGTATCTCGTTTGCGGTGTTTAAAAATCTACGCTCGCATTTTATTTTTTTGAAGTAGACCAGATCAATATCATTCCTTGAAATTTTCACGGAATTTTCTCCGCACGAAGAGGAAAAATCACAGATATTTTCAAGACTGGTCGTTAAGTAGTTTTTCATTTAAAAAATAAACTATGACAGGAAGTCTGCGACGTCGCAAACCGAGATACGTGGTTTGGTAGTTTCACCGTCGATGTTAAGTAATTTCCTATTCTTTGCTTCGATCAACACTGGAAAAAAACACATCGGATCTAGAGTTCAGACTGTTAAAAACATCGACAAGAAAAAATACTCTTGATTCAATCGGATTTTTGCTTGAATCAAGAACCAAGCCTCTTAATTCGAGCGGATTTCCTTTTGATTTAAGCTTAAATCTTATTGAATCAAGATTATTTTTTCTTGTCAATGTTTTCAAGAGTCTGGACTCTAGATCCAATGTGGTTTTTTTTTTCCAGTGAAAGATGTGGTGGATTTTATGAACAAAAAATGCTGTACGCCGAAAAAAAAACTGAAGTTGATTGAACATTCTGAATGTAAAGAAAGTGTGCGAGAACTTATAAAATGCTGAGCTACGAGGCTTGAGGCCATAAGTAGGCTAGTTTCGATGTTATGAAAAAGAGCTTCAACCATTCCAGTACAAAAATTTCTAAAGATGAGATTGTCTTCCTAAAATTAAGTCACACATTATGACATTGCAGAATGAGACTTAAGCAGCAATGCAGCATGACTATTGCAAGAAACTGTTTGTTTATCAAGTAAATAACAACTACGCAAGCATGAAAAATGCAATAACAAATCAGAGGATTCAAGTCTGCTGTAAGAATCGAACTAAGCTAAAAAAATTCCGGAAAGGCTATTTTCTAATTGAATCACTAACAATTTGAAAATTCGAGTATCAAACAAACAAGGCATGAACATTCAGCGAACACAATAATTAACGTCATGGGATAGTAAGAGGAAGGAGATGGGGGAGGGCAAGAAACTAAAAACCCTCAAATGAAACATGGAAAATACGAAAGTATGAAAAAATGAAAAATCGAGAAATTTCACCTCCATCCGTTATAGTTCGCCCTGAACATTTTTTTTTTTTTTTTTTTTTTTTTTTTTTTTTTTTTTTTTTTTTTTTTAAGCCGCCACAAAATTTCTTTAAGGAGAAGCCTAACTATTTGCCTAGACGCCTATATTTGTTGAAAGGTATCATGGGTTCTGCAGTTCGATCCTCGATTTTACCAAAACTGTGATTCAAGGCGCTGAACTTTGGTACAGCTACGACGACAAAAGAAAACAGGTTCTCTCTGTTGGGCTCCTTCGAGCTTCGAGAGGACATTATTCTCACGCATAAAATAGTTCCGAGTAGGGATGCAGATAGTTCTTAATCTCCCCATTTTGTATCTGGCCCTTCCGTTTTAAAAAACCCTTTGTTGTCAACATTTTCAAAGTGATACTTCCCCCTCTTCTTTTCTGATCTTTATTTACAGATGGCAATAATCTTAACGACGATGCGATGCTGCTTTCCCATTTTCGCTGCCTTTCTCATTTTTGACATTTTTCTAGTAAGTCAAAAAGGTTGCTCTTCTCTGATCCGAGAGCAGTCCTATATTAAGTGCTCGTAACGTAGTGCGCTCTCTAAAAAAATCGGGTGGGCTATTTTGAAAATAAAAAAGTCATAAACTTTTCAGACAATTCGTTTTTTACCAGAGGATATTGTAGAAAGTCTGAATATTCGGACAGCGTGTTTACTTAGCATGGTGGTGCAGTACACAAATGAACTTTTTTCTCAGTGGGAGGTTTCCGAGGTAGATATACGCTTTTACAGCGGCGTAGCGTGTTTTGAAATATATCGATTGATCTGTCATGTAAACCTATGGAACAGAATCGACGAATAGGGTTTTCGCAACTAACACCTTAATAATCGATTCTATACCATAGCTCCAAATGGGGAAAAATCGATAATCGATCATTCACGACTCGCCACTTCAGCATAGTGAAAATACTCGCGTTTACGAGATGAAATGGCAAATCTCCTCCCGCGATGAGCGAAATGAAGGCGACGTTCTCGCTTTCAAATGAGCCTGACTCCACTTTCAATTCGCCGTAAGATCGATGATTATCGGTGGCTTTCGCGGCTAAAATCGTCGATATATGACGAGAACGACATAAATACATTCGGAGGTAAGCCTCTTCGTGCCAACGACACCACACTGTCTGGGGCTCTTACGTACAGAGTTATGCCTTCCCAGCATCAAAATGAGCAGACCGCTCGGCTGTAAAGCCTCCGGCAGTAAAAATTAATCGCTGCTCACTAAAGAAGTTCAACGTGAAAAAAGTTCGTCATCGCGCCGCCTAGCTCACACTGAGATATACGATTCGGAGCGGTCGTATTGGTCCAGTTACACGATCAAATTGAGCCATCAAATTGAAGCTCAGATTGGTGGAAAAAGACCTGAGGTGAGGATGCGACCAATGAGAGGCCCAATTTGATGGCTCAATTTGATCGCGTAACTGGACCTTATAAACCCAGTAAAACCGAATATCGATGGCTAAAGTACAAAATCACGAATTTCCATCGCAATGTTTCATAATTTCCGCTCCTATTTTATTTTTTCGAGGAAACACAAGCCAACCATATCCCCTTAAATTTTTACAGAATATTCTGCGAGCAGAGAAGAAAATTCAAAGAAGTTTTACAAAAATTACATACGTCGACTAGTTTTCCGAGGAAAAAAAGAACTATGACAGGAAGTATGCGACGTCACAAACGGAGATACGTGGTTCAGCACTTTAGACATCGATTTTATCTCCGGCACTTCCGAGGTTCGTTAGAAATATCTCAAATTTTCCAGAAATCGGTGGGTGTTAGGAGAAACCGAGGTCACTATCAGACCCAGCGCTCAAAATTTCAAAAGAATCAGCTATCGAATCTCCAGCGTTTTTTTGAGTACAGACTTGTATTATTACTATCCGACCTGCGGGCTGATTTTTGAAATTGACAGACAAAGCAATAGACAAAGAAGACAAGATGGATATGGAGGGATTCTATTGGTGGAAGTGGGCGGTTGTATTGGACAAAGGAGGTAGGGTAGGTAATAGACTAACTAATGGCAATCTACGAGAGATCCTGAAGTTAGCCTATCATTTTCTCCCTAAGTTTATAGGAGCCAACCGTTTTAACCAATTGGATCGCTCCGCACTCCCAATGTCTTCTTTGTCTATCGCTTTGTCTATAAATTTCAACAATCAGCCCGCAGTAACTCTCCATGATGAGAACACGATTTTATGAAATACACAACTGACCTATTTTGATGAAGATTTGTGCCTTAAGACGTTTCAATTCATTACCCTGTCTAGCGATCTATTATCGCTGGAGAACAAAAGGAGGGCTAGAAAATTGAATAATTGCCCGCGAGATAAAATACAGATTAATGGGATCGCCGATTCAGAGAGGACGTCCAACTCGGCGGCGGAAAATGAGCGAATTTCCGGGCCGATTCAAAAGTTTTCACGCTCTGATGATTCCTTGATGAATACGTTCGGTTCTGGGCCAATGTCACTCCGTCATGAAACAGTTAGCGCGAAAAACACTGGACGTCTTTATATTCCTGTTCCTGAGGCTGTTCGTCGAGCAGCCTCCTACGGTTTCATCAAATTTCGAGTCACCCGTCGTGCAGAAAATGCGGGGTAATTATTGCGAACCCGCTTCGCAAATCGAACTCATACTTTTAGCCATTGAAAGTGGTGAGTCTGTTCAAAGAAAATATATTTTATAGATCGAGCCCAAAATTACCGACTAAGCTATGTAGTCGGGTGCACCAAATTTTAAATTTAGAGGTCAACGCTATGTTTCGACTAATGATGGTTCCTGAGCCAAAAGTCTAACAAAAGTCGCCCAATGACGAGTGACGAATGTCGGGGAGAGTTCTTTGCTATTTTTTTGCATATTAAATTCAACTGCTTAATTGCTGCTTTTGTAAAAGCTCAATTGGAAACATTTAAGATTGAGTTACGGGATTAGGGTTACTTTGGAAGACGCTCTCGCTATCTGTAAGAAAAGTTGGAACTCTCAAACAGAATGGTTTCCACTAGTCATCAAAAAGTTAGTAAAGCGGGGTCTCTAACGAATCTCCTTCAATATTCCTGTATCACTATATAAACCATAGGAAGCCTTCTAAAGATAAGAACTGTCTCAGGAACGACGAACAGTGAATCGAGTCAATTAGAGAGGTCGGACATGAAATGTTTGACTAAAACTGCGAATATTGATGTTAAATTCACCACATTTAAAATTTTAATGGGTGCTTGTCACTATATAAACCATAGGAGGCCTTCAGAAGATAAAAAACTGTCTCAGGAACGACGAACAGTGAATCGAGTCAATTAGAGAGGTCGGGCATGACATTTTTGACTAAAACTGCAAATTTCGATGTTGTATTCATCAAATTTAAAATTTTAATGGGTGGTTCTGGAAGAAAATTTCACGAGGAAACCAACGAGACCACTTTTAGAACCTCCGAGTTTTGTATAAGCAGAGATAAAAGCATTTAAAGTTTCCAAATTTTGTCCGACCTCTCCAGTTGACTCGATCCACTGTGCGACGATGAATACGGATGGAATACACGTCTTCATTTTCAAATTTACAAGTGTTTCTATCAAATTTCACGCGCATTTTTCAAGTCTGTACTTTAAATTGATTTTTGATAATGCTAACGCTGATCGTTCATTTAAACGCACCGAAAAAAATAATATGCTGTTTTAGCATCTAGGATGTCAAAACAGCATATTATTTTTTTCAGTGCGGCCCAAGTGCACAGCGGGTTCGATGCAATATTCCTACACTATGACCAGAATATCCAGCGGTTCCGCCAAGTTGGAGAATTCGCC